CAAGATATTCTAATATACACAATGTACTTGAAACAGAAGGAGAGTTCTCTTGAATTGTGCACACGAACATAAAAGATAAATTCTGATCCTCAAAAAAGGATGCGAATTTCAGACAAGAACAGAGGAGATTCGCCAGACAACAGCCAGAACGAAAATTCCCACAAACACGTTAGGATAATTCAATATGAACAAGTAGATTCAAACCAGATTGGTAACAGAAAAAAAAATTGTTTTGAGGCAAATGCACATGTAAGCTCTAATGGGAAGAATCAGAGACAGGCGAGAAATCACAGATATGCAAACAAAGTTTTCTGAGAAAACAATCGGAGAAAAAAGAACACATGCATGAAGCTGATACATAATAATGGGATTATGAATTAGCATTTCGTTTGAAACCAGGAACAAAGGAAATACCTTTTACAGATTTTTGTCAAGAATAATAACGTATAATGCTGCGTTCATAGTTGTAAAATTCTCTTGGGAAAAAAAGGAAAAGAAAAATGTGATGATCCGAGAAAATAAAAAACGAACTTTGTGGTAATGAAGACTTCCCGCTATTTCAGGTTTACACTTCGAAAAAAACGGGAAAAAAAGAAGACAGAAGAAGATAATTAATAAATGTTTAATCCCAATCTTTTTGAGTTAAAATTAAATCAAATGAAAATGTCTAATCACAATAGTTATTTCTCTTTTGATTAAGTTAAAATTAACAAAATAATTAATCGTCAGCTCAATTAACAAAATGCACTAACGAGTTCGTCTCCTCACCGCACAAATAACCTCCGCCGCAGTTGCAGGTGAGCTTACTTCTCTTTCATCTATCCTCCTACGATTTCGTCTTTCTCCGTCGCGGAACCAAACAATTCCGGCCATAACCGTAGCCTTGAATGGCGGTTTTCGCGGCAGTGGAATCCGAGTCTCACTCACTCTCATTTTAAAAACCAGAATCGATTCTGCCAATTTCACTCGACTGATAGATTTTTTTCTCTCTCGAAAAATCGAACTAGGGTTTGTTTATGTTATCTGATCAGAATTTTATCCGATCATCATAATTTCTACTTTACCCGATCAGTTTTTAAATTGGACCCACTCTAAATTCAATTCAATTTATCGGTTAAGAAAACCAACCCGAAATTAACAAGAACCGGACCATAACATAATCGGCCTTTTTAGTACTGAATAAAAAAGCCCAATTATTCATAGAAGCCCAATCCATACTCTGTTTCATGAGAACCATAACAAACTCACCGTTCCTTCTTCTTCCTCCGTCAAACTTTTTGGTCGGTTCCCGGCACCGACGTGTCCTGCAAGAACAAATACTTATACAACACTCGATCTCCGAGCTGTGAGTCGACGAAATTTGGATCCTTTTCTTAAATTATACTATTTCATTGTTATATAGCTTTCGTTAATTCCGAACTTTTCTTTCTCGAGCTTAATTTGAAAGGGTAGATTTCAAATTAGGGTTTCACTTTTCTTTCCGGTGAGTCGGTGCATTCATTGAACAGCTCGAGAGCTTCTTCTTCAGTTTCATGATTCATGTAGTATATAAAAACTTTGAATCTCAAATAAAGATTTTTTTTTTTCTGACAGTTGAGCAACTTTGAACCTTTTTTCCTTCTCTGTTTTCATCTTTTGTATGTGAATTGGTCTCATCATTTAAAATTGTTTGTAGGAATAAAATTTGGAGTGAGACAGACTGTAATTTCTATTAAGAGCTATGGCATTACGATCAGTAAGCAGGAGGCTCGGGAGCAGAATTTTGAATCATCGTTCCTTTGTTGCTTCGCTTCATTCTCATGCCACAAGTTTTGGTAACACTCTTAAAAAACCTTTCCTTTTTCTCTCTAGATTTGGTTATTTTGTATTTTTGTGGATGATTTTCAATTCAAGATCATATGTTTCATGCTATACGAAATGCTTTTTTTTTTCTAGATTATGATTTCTCTTGAGTTTCTACTGTGTGAATTGAACTTTGATGTTTTAATTTCAGGGTTTCAAGAAGTAAAGGAAGAAGAGAAAAGCAAATTGGTTGGTAATGTATTCACCAATGTAGCTTCGAGTTATGATATTATGAATGATGTCATGAGTGGTGGCTTGCACAGGCTATGGAAGGAAAGGTTAGTCTCGGTGATAGTTTGATCACAAAGTGTTATGAATGCCTTTTTTTTTTTTTTAATTTTGAAATTGACTTTTTTTGGTGGTTTTTGTGATGCCAGACTCGTTGGGAAGCTAAGTCCATTTGCAGGGATGAAGCATCTTGATGTGGCCGGTGGAACAGGTTAGTCGATACAATTAAACATGTAGTTTTGCTGTCTCTGATCTCAAATCCATACATAATTGAAAAATGTACTCGTTGTCATATATATATTGGTTGTAATATGCAGGTGATGTTGCGTTTAGGATCTATGATGCTGTTTACAGTGTCAAACGAAGAGCATTGCAGAAAGTTGATGAGGCTTCTCTTGAAGAGACTCAGATATATGTATGTGACATTAATCCTAACATGTTAAACGTTGGGAAACAACGAGCTGCTGAGCGAGGTGAAACATCTGATGTTTATTTGTGCAACAAATTTGAATCCTCTTTTATTCCCCTATATTTTGATATTTGTATGTGTGAGCTCAGGCTTCCTTTTCTTGCATAGGTTTAAGAGATAACAAATCACTCGTATGGGTTGAAGGAGATGCAGAGGCCTTGAGTTTCGATGACAATTCAATGGATGGATACACCATTGCATTTGGAATAAGGAATGTCACACACATTGAAAAGGCTCTCGCAGAGGCTTATAGGTACCTACTACAAATACTTCCACCCTCTCTATTGGGGTATATTTTCTTGTTACAGCGTTTATGTATAATCTTATGAAACTCTTCACACTGTTAGGGTACTAAAACGGGGAGGAAGATTCTTGTGCCTCGAGCTCAGCCATGTAGAAATTCCGATTTTCAAAAATCTGTAAGTTTAGATGATTAGATATGTTGTGGAAGTAAGTACCGAAGTCTTTTTTGTTTCTTTGATAATCTCACTTTGTTTCTTGTGTTGCAGATACGATTTGTATTCTTTCCAGGTCATTCCAAACTTAGGGGAACTAATCGCCGGGGACAGGGAATCCTATCAGTACTTGGTTGAGAGCGTTCGTCGGTTTCCCCCTCAGGTTCAAACATTCAACATTTTTGTAACCTTTCTTGAAAATATGGTATACAATACACACAACTTTTAGCTTAGTTTTCATAATTTTGCTGCACGGTTTGGAAATTTTGTATAAAAATGGTGTAGTCATCATATCATATGATGTTTTAACTTGTTGGTTTCTTCAAGAACATTAGTGATAACATTTCATGATCAAATCTTTAGTTAAGGTTGTGTTAGATTCATGTAAGAAGATAACTTTTAAGTTTTTAAAGTTGTGGGCTTATTCAATACCATTAGTAAGAACTTGCTAAAGGCTGTGTTAGATTCCTGTAAAAAGATAAGCTTTAAGTTATGATAGCTATGATTATAAGAGCATCGTGTGTGATCAGGTGATGTCTGGTCTATAAGACGTTTTTTAGTTTAAAGCATGTTTTGTAATCACTAGATGTATGAAATGAGCGCAGGAGCGATTTGCATCGATGATAGCAGACGCAGGATTTGAGAAGGTGGAGTACGAGAACCTTGTTGGTGGAGTTGTCGCCATTCACTCTGCCATAAAGCTCTGACTTTGTTCTTAACTTTTGCTTCTGCTGTTTCAAAACCCAAACTGTAAAAGTTGGTAGGTAATAAGGCTCTGCTTAAGAGCGAACTTACTACATAACTGTTGATTCCCCTCCACTTTTGATGAAATTTTGTTGATTTTAATCGTATGATTAAATAAAATATTTACTCTTATTGGCAATAACATGTTTAAACAATTTTGAGTTTGAAGATACTTTGAGAGTAACAATTAAGCTCTTATGCAAGCCGTGAAAGACCCTCAAAGAGTGGCCAAGGTTATTAGGTTACAAAACTGACACAAAGGTTATTAGCAGCAAGCCAGCAACGATAAGCCGACCAATATTAGCTGTGGTTGGTCTCTATTGCTTTTTCACCATCCTCATCAAAATCAAGTGTGGCATGTAGGCCTGGGCACAAGGCAAGTACTTGCTATTTTTCAAGTACTTGTGACTCGCCTTGGCCCGTACAAGTAATTGAAAGTTCGGCTTGATACTCGACTCGTTTGAGCAAGTACTTGCTAGAACAAGTATTCGTCCAAAATTTTGTTACTTGCAAGTAACTTGACCCGGCTTGTTACTTGCAAGGTAACTTGACTTGGCTTGTTACTTGCAAGTACTTGTTACTTAAATCTTGAAGTCTTGAACATTTCATTTAAATAAAAAACCAATCTCATATGTATTATAAAACATTCAGAATTTTAAACATCGTAAAATCGCAAAACATCCTAGAATCACAACACATTGAAAGTTCCAAAAAATAAGCATTTTAAAACAACTTGGTTCAAATTGAAATCTTGTCTCTATCTTCCTTCTTGAGTTCTTGTCTTCTTGATTCTTTTTTTTTTCCATATAAATAAAACCAACATAACAAATGTTACTATTAGTGTATTACGCTTTAAAACAAAACTTGAAAATCATGAAGTATCTTGTAATACAAAACGGGACGAGTAGCGGAGCGAGTAACGGGGCGAGTATCGAAACGGGGCGAGTAACGAGCCAAGTTATCAAAAAAAATTATGATACTTGATACTTGATCCTTACTTGCAAGTAATGGAATTATACTACTTGGTACTTGCCTTGACAACACCGGATACTTGTTTTTTCAAGGCGAGTATGAGCCGAGTAGCGAGTATCAACCGAGTAACGAGTACTTGTGCCAGGCCTAGTGGCATGCATGTTTTGAGTTACTACTATAACACAACCAATTAAAAAAAGAAGCTTTTAATGGGCTTTGTATTAGGCCCATTTTCTATAAGCCCGGTTCTATTCTAGGGTTCTCACTGCGTCGTGAAATCAAATCATATATAAACGTAATCACGCAGTTTTTCGCCGTGAGACTTAAGTTTTTTCATAGTTGAGAAATTTCGCCGCCGTTTGAAGAAGAAGAAGAAGAGATGGGAGTTTTCACTTTCGTTTGCAAAAGCAAAGGCGGAGAATGGACCGCAAAGCAACACGAAGGAGATCTTGAAGCTTCAGCTTCTTCTACTTACGATCTCCAGCGCAAGCTTGTTCAGACTGCTCTCTCCGCCGATTCTTCTGGCGGCGTTCAGTCTTCTTTCTCTCTTGTCTCTCCTACCTCCGCCGTCTTCCAGGTATCTTTCATCTCTTTGTTTACTGGATCTTGATTACGTTTTTTTACTCGCAGATAAGTCGAATCTAGTGCTTGCGATCACTTTATTTTGTTGCTGTTGCGATCGTAGTTTGTTTAGCTAACTAGTTGTGATAAAATCTTCAGTCATGATTCCATTGGTGAAGAAGAATCTGGAATTGTGAACTTTCTTCGATGCACATTGTTTTATAGCTACATTGTGTACTTAGATCCACTTGTCATTTTGCTCTAATCTCATTTTTCAAGAACTCGTTTTCAATTTGGTGAAGCATAGATTATACAAGTTTACCTGTTGAATCGTATAACGAGTTGTTGAAATGAATGATACGTAGCTAATTATTGAAATGTATGATACATTTCATTGTTGAAACTCGTTTTGTCGATTATTTGTGTTAATAGATTATGTTATCTGAGTAGGTGATCATTGGTGGTGGTGGTGGTGGAGGATTTGCTGCCGGAGGTGGTGCAGCTGCTGGAGGTGGTGGTGGCGGTGAATCTGCCGCAGCCACAAAGGAGGAAGAGAAGAAGAAGGAAGAGTCTGAAGAGGAAGAAGGAGACTTTGGATTTGATCTCTTTGGTTAAGAGACCTGAAGTAACTTTGTTAGTGTTTGAGGTTTTTTATCTCATTTTCTTTTTGTTTTCTGGTTTTTGATCTTTTTGAGACTATAATGTAATGTCAGAAATATATGTTATTGTTTCTGCTTTCAATTCGTATTATGCAAACACATAAGTTTTAATACATAACTCCTTTTCATATTTGGTCGAATTTTTAAATGGTGATTACTTCTAAGGGCGTATTCACCATTGTTCACTAAGAGTGTTAGCAAATATTTACTCGTTCAATTGGTTTGAATTGGCTAACCAAATTATATTAAAAGTTGGGAAAAAAGAACAAGGCAAACGCAAATTACAAGCTCCACTCGAGTATAGAAACAAAAAAGTTGAGTACACATTTAAATATTAAAAACAGTATCACAATTTTCTTTATAATGTCAAAACTTTTAAAACGCTCTAAACTAGCGTTTACGTCTCATTAACAAAACTAGAAACGCGACTTGCGTTTTCTAGCGGTGTACTTGGAGTCAGCAGGAACATTGTTTCCTTTTCTTCTACTTTGCTCTTTCTTCTTCAGAACCCATTCTCTTCCTTTCCCTTGCTTGTTCGTTCTCCGCTTTTTCCTTGGCCTATTCCTATCTGATATACCCACCTTTATGCAAACAAAGAAAAAACAAACCCGAGAATCGTATATGAGAATTCGATATAGTGATATGTAATAAGCCGGTAATGAGATTCCGAACAGCACTATAGCTTTACCTCTCCATTCTCTTCATCTTCACTATTGTCATCTTCTGAGCAACTCTCATCATACTCATTCTTACCGGTTTGAATGCTGGTCTGAACAGGACCACATGTGAGGACCAAGAACTCTTTTCTTTTCTTAGTACTGCATTAGAGAGAACATTGCATCTGTTTAATGTCTTCAAAAAGTAACTCACCAATCAAATGATTGAAACAAACACCAAAAACAGCTTCTACATGAACCGATTGTGTCATTACATAGTTCTGAGAAGCTCATAAGACCAACTGGTTTTCTAGATTGTAAAAGAATGTTATCACTGGAATTGGCAGCCCATACCTGTGTGGATAGTCAACAACAAGTCCACCTCCAAATCCAGCTTGTAAGGCCTGGCGAAGAATCAATTCACGCTGAGCAATATTCTCAGGGTACACTTGAAAAACTGCCCTTGCTCCTCTTGACAAGCAGCGGTATAGTGACCCAAAGAAAGCCCTGAAGAAATTGAGAAGTTAAAGATCAGTACTGCAACACACTAGTTGATTCAGCAAAAGTCAAATAATTTACACCTACTTTAGCCTTAAACGAGGTTCATGGGATGACTTATCCGCATTGCATAACCACTGAAATCACGTAAAAAGGAAGAACTGATTAAACAATAAACACAATTTAGAAAAAAAACATATGATGAGATTAAAAGATGAGGTCAATGTAGCATATAATACAAAGAATCACATCTTATGGACGAGCAAAACAAGTCAATGATAAGGTAATTTGAGTAGTAAACCTGAACAGCTGAAATACTGATGGCTCCATCAATAACTCCAGAACGAAGACCTAATCCCTGAGACAGTAATACGTGGATAAGAAATCACAAATATGTAAACACTTGTCAATCCGAGAAATACACTAATTACAAAAAATAAACAACCAGCCACAGAAAAATCCAAGAGAAGATGATGATAAAAGTGAAGCTAAATTACCTGCCCCATGTCACCAAGTAAAAGATCACCCTCAACTTCTCGTTCCACAGCAACGTCTACATTGTTATTAAAGATAAAATGAGCTTAAGATCACAAGAGACAGGGAATAACGAAAAACACTTAACAAAGAAGAAACTTACTTAGCATTGAGGCAGAAATGTCTAAACCAATCCAATGATGACCGTTTTCAGAAAGTGTTTCCCCACTCAGGCCAGATCCACAACCTGAACCAAAATAGATACTAGTCATTCTCTGTTCTAGCAACAAAGCTAACCAAATAAGTTTATACTCAGTCGTCGAGATACTAAACTAATTGATGATCAAAAAGATGAAAACTTTAGAATACGACTACATCTGTTAACTATCCATAAACCAGCTAATCGAACTTAGATACATAATTTCAATCAAACATGGTTATATGGTTATATAACTGCATTGAACTACAAGTTTTCAAATAAATGAATCATATGGGACTAAACCAAATTCTAGGAAACGAGCAAAACAATTAACATTGCTCATCATCAGTAGATCAAAAGGATTATTTTTTACCAATGTCGAGTAAGAATCTAGGAACACCATCCTCGGGCAAAGCAAGAAGCTCCAAAGCTCTCTCTGATAGCTTCGCCTGTAAATCATAAATGTTTAAGCTTTGGGATTATATAAAAGAGCAAAAGTGCTAATTTTTGGGGAAAAATAATAATTGGAAAACCTGAATTTCGACGATACGAGAGGAAGAAGTATACTTCCGAGCTTCGGTTTCGTCATAAAATATCTCCGGCGGAGCGAGTAACTCAGGTCGATTTGACATTATTAGCTTCTCGAGCTAAAAATCCAAAACTGTAGCAGAGGAGGAGGAAGAACAATACACGAACGGCGTTGAAGTTTTTTTAGGGTTTAGAGCCAAAGAGAGAAAAAAAAACAACATCTATTTGCAAAATCCGATTTTTGTTAACCGGTTATGGTTGGTCCGGTTAATCAACTAGATAAGTGAGGTTTTCAGAATTTTCGGTTAGGTTAGTTGCTCTAGTTTTTCCCTTACTGGCTTGGGTCTTAGCTTAACAATATAATTGGGCCAAAATTGTAAACTACTTGAAGCTCTTTTTTTTTTTTTTTTTTTAGCTTTAATGGGTCAAGAACAATGGGTTAAGAACTGACCAAAGTTGAATTTTCTTATTTTTAGCATTCAATTATTTGTTTAGTCCCAGAATAATAATAAGTAATGTTTATGAGTAAAATTATGTCCCTAGAGACATGTAGTCCGGTTGGGAATTAAATCGTCATTTCCAAATTTAACTTTTAAAAAGAAAGTTACAGAGGAAATTTTAATTAACAAAAATAAAAAAGAAATATGTCTCTAGTTTCTTCTGATTCCACCATCACTGGAAAAATCGACTGGTGTGGAGGTGTTCGTTTATAGTACATCAGAACTCAGAAGAAGATAATTAAAACAATTTTAGACATTTTTCTAAATCAAAAAAGAAAAAGAAAAGTCTAAACATTTGGCGTCGATTTCTTTATTTCTAAGCAAAGAGAGAGAAAACAAATCGAGGATCTGAATCGTCAAAAACTACTTTTGTATGTTCTTCATTGAAACACATTAATATAATTATTGCAAAAGCCAAAAAAAAAAATCTAACACTCTCATTATCTTTCTCTTGACTCTTTGATTTTTTTGAAGCCCTAGATCTTTTAAGGTAAAGAAGAAGATCATCAAAGCTTTCATTTTTGAGATCTGGGCTTCAGACAAAGATTCTATTTTTTTCTCTCCCCCATTTTAATTTTAATTCCAGCTCCAAATTCTCAGGTAACTGTAATAACTTCTAATTCTCTTCACTGATAAATGCATTTGGTCCACTCTTCTAAATAATTTCTGTAACATTACGAATCTGATAGTTTTTGCTAATTTATGCTATAGCTTCGGATTTTGGTTTTCGAGTGAAGCAAAATCACTACATTTGCTAAATTGCCTCGTACGTGCGGGTGAGGATCTTTCTCAATCACAAGAACAACGTGAAAAGTTTCCTCCTTTAAATTAGGTTTTCTTTTCATTAATTCCGTAAATTTGTTTCACCAAACGTGTGGGACTTCTTGTTTCTAAAGAGTGTTGCTTTACCATTGGTAAGTGACAAAGATTCAAGCTTTATACAATTGTTTCTAAATTACTTCATTTTGATGTTCCTTGATTGAAAATTTTCAGGTTTTGCTCAATGTAAAGAAGTTAAAGATTCAAACATTTTGTTGCAATGGGAGAAACACAGAACCTGCATTTGTCTCCGCGACACCGATCTTCTCTAAAGAAGCCATTGTTGATTGTTTTGTTAGTCTGTATCACAAGTGTGCTTTTGGTGATCACTTACATGTATCCACAGCACAATGGTAAGAGCTCTGCTTGTGCGGGTTTGTCTAGTAGAGGCTGTGAAGCGGCGCTTTCGGGATGGCTTCCTGTTCATGTGAGGAAATTTACGGATGAAGAAGTGGCAGCTCGAGTTGTGATCAAAGATATACTGAGACTACCTCCTGCTCTAACCGCTAAATCGAAAATCGCTTTTATGTTCTTGACTCCTGGTACTTTGCCATTTGAGAGGCTTTGGGATAAGTTTTTCCAGGTTAAAAGAAGTTCTTGACACATTCTTGATTTATTTGATTGCTGTGTATTGTATTTGACGGTTTGCTCTATATTGTGAAGGGTCAAGAAGGAAGATTCTCCATTTACATCCACCCATCAAGGTTACGACCAGTTCACATTAGCCGTCACTTTTCAGACCGTGAAATTCACAGCGATCATGTCACTTGGGGAAGGATTTCTATGGTTGATGCCGAGAGACGGCTTCTAGCAAACGCTCTTGAAGATCCTGACAACCAACACTTTGTTCTTCTTTCAGAAAGGTGATTTCATTACCTTATCGTATTTTGCACAAAGTCATAACTTTATTTTCCAGCTACATTCTCTTTACTCGCTGTATCTCTTTAAACTTTGCAGTTGTATACCGTTGCATACATTTGACTACACGTATCGATATTTGATGCACGCAAATGTCAGCTTCATTGATAGGTAACTAAATGATTCTCAGAAACTTTGGGTATCTTTCTATTGCTAAATTTGATTTCTCCAGGAATATTCACCAATGCTTGTTTTTCTCTCTCAAGTTTTGAGGATCTTGGTCCTCACGGGACTGGCAGGCACATGGATCACATGTTACCTGAGATCCCAAGGCAAGATTTCAGAAAGGGTGCACAGGTAAAATACTGTTTAGTTAATCCCTGAGTTGTGGATTGTTCTTAAGTTGTTGCTTCTCTAGGTTTGTTTAGTAATGGTAATGTCGAAAATAAGTAAATAGTCGACGAGGAACATATTGTGTAATCCCCCCTTTTTCTCTTCTGGTGTAGTGGTTCACAATGAAGCGTCAGCACGCTGTAATAGTGATGGCTGATGGTCTCTACTACTCGAAATTCCGGGAATATTGCAGAGTAAGTTTGGTATTCCTTTATACCAAAGTTTTTGTTTGCATGTTACAGCCTACCATTAATGACTGAGTTCTGTAGTAAGAAATTTTTCATAAAGACACCAAGCTTGAGTCATCTCAAGCTGACCTATTTTGCGAATATCAAGAGTCCTCAAATTTTTTTAAAACTTGAGAAAAGTTTCAGTTTTGTCTTACTCTGATTCTGATTTGAAATCCTCAGCCCGGGGTAGAAGCAAACAAGAACTGCATCGCGGATGAACATTACCTGCCAACATTCTTCCATGTGAGGAGATTATAGCATCTTCCTCTCTTAGAATTTTTTTCACTGTAATTCTTGTCCCTTAATGAATCTTTGGTTCTTTGAAGATGCTTGATCCTGGAGGAATCTCGAACTGGTCAGTCACATATGTTGATTGGTCTGAGCGTAGATGGCACCCAAAGACATACAGAGCGCGCGATGTCTCACTCAAGCTCTTGAAAATTATCACGGTAATTTACAACACTATTTTCAACACATCAATCAAACTTCTTATGCTACCACAGAGTAAACGGGATCATCATCCGTATTAGCCGGTGTGCTCAACTCATACTCTTGTAATCCATTGTACAGATTCAATGAGAAAATATCCAATTCTCTATCTACTCTCTTTCATTTCTTTGTTTTTTTATTCTGACACATACTTTCCTTCCTCTGTTTCTTGCAGTCCGATGATATGAGTGTACATGTAACAAGCGTTGGCAAGGTACATTACTCGCTTACTGCATTCGAAACAACTGAAAATGTGAAATCCTTCTCTTGATTTATCTTCTGCGTTTATCTCTTCTTAGCGAGGAGAAGAGCTGCATTGGCCTTGTACATGGAAGGGAATTAGACGTCCATGTTATCTATTCGCAAGGAAGTTTCACTCAGATGCTCTTTACAAACTGGTCAGACTCTTTCCAAACTACACGAGCGCAGTGGTCTGAGCCAGAAACAAATTCTTGAAACCAAACCATACAATTCTTGAAACCGGAACAAAAGACTTCCACATATCTCGAGATTGGATTGGATTAGATTGGATCGCAGATTACTGTAAATTTCTGAGAAGCACAGTGCTTTCTCTTGCTGGGATTTAGTGCTCTTTAATGGGACATGTTACTCTGCTTTTGTTAAGGTTTAGTATAAGAACAAAATTAGAAGCAGAGGTTTTTGTCTAAGGAGAGTTTTGGTTATTGTGATTTTAGCAATTGTTTGGTTAGTGTTAACCGGTGTATGTTGTTGTAAGGTCAAGCTATTTAGTAGAGCTTAACACAGGTTTTAGAATTTTGGCTGTGTTATAATAATACGAATATAAACTATTTTTACTCGTATAATATAAGGAGCTATTTTATTTTATAAGAATATAATCTTTTGGATGAAATTTTACAATCACTGAGTGGGTATATATATAATAATTAAAAAATATTAATTTGTTTACAATTTTTTCACTTTGTATCTATACTATTAATTGTGAAGCATTGGATAATAAATAACCTTATAAAGTGTAAATAATTACAAAGGATGCCATTGAAATTTTTGCATTTAAAGACAATTAAAAAGATTTCGTCGGAGGGTAAAATGGCCAATTTGATGCTCACTTCAACGCGGATCTTGGATTTCGGGCCGGATCTAGATCCATAGAGATTTGGTAAAACACGCGGATCCTGAAACGTGGGGATTTGGATCAATAATAATTGCGAGTGTCATCTTAATGGGCTTAGGAGATAAAGGCTTTTCTTATGCTCGCAAACTTATGTTTGAGATCTGCAGAAATATGAAGTTTGAACAAATTAGATTCAATAACTTAAAATATATTTCTATAATAAGCAAATTCCATATATTGTGATTAGTAAATAAGAACAAATCTCTTTATATTCGAATCCAGTTATTACTTTTTTTACCAAAAATATCAAAATCAATAAATTCAAATTTGATTTAATCACTTAAACGGTTTTTCGTTACCAAAAATATCAAAATCTTTTAATTCAAATTGGAACAACTGACGCATATACCTTAACAATCTTTATTCGCAAATATTCTCTTTGATATGATTTTCTAAACCCTAAAAAAAATGTAGCCGACTTTGAATTACTATAAATATAGGATGTGAAATGCCGTAGAAGATACTCACTCACCTTTTAAAGCGAGAACTCTTCTCTTCCTGTTCCTTCAAAGAATATGGCAGCACAGCTTGCATCGACCGATCTTGCTGACATCAAACCTTTCAAAACAGGATGGAGAATCCAAGTTAAAATCATGCATATGTGGTCTCAATACACGCAATACACTGAGAAAACAATGGAAATGATTCACTCTTATACATATGTAAGTATAGATTCGATTTTCACTAAATCTTATACTCTTTACAGTCTTATAATTATCATCAAAAGATCCTATTATTAACACGATTTTATTCTCTTCAATATAGGGTACTTTGATTCATACTACTATTAAGAAACAACAAGTGAACAGGCTTCATAGGTTCATCAAATCTGGAGTGCAGTATTGTGGAAAATATTATACTTACAGGGCAATCAAACATGTGTTTAAAATGTATAACATAATGCTGAGCAACTCGATGTGCAGCAAAACGCATGTACGATGTTGGAAAAGGCAGGAATTCTAACTGAAGCTGCTCAGGGTTTTGAAAGAACTTCTGTATATCAATCTCCATCCACAAAACTAAAAGTTACACCAACCAACAAAAAAAACAACCTTTTTATCACCATCAACCACATTTTAAGAGAATCTTTTGTAGATAGAAAAATTAAAATTCAACATAAAAAGAAAGTGTTGAAACTAGAGGATAAGAGACTTATAAATATGCAAACGAGCTTAGAGAGGATCACATCAGCCAAACGGTTATGCAAATAAGAGTGATTTGAATACTCAAGCTTCAATGTTCATGTTGCCTATGAAACAATCGTGATCATGAGGATTCTGATTGAGCTAAAAATACAAGTGACTATGATTTGGGTCATAGAGCAATCAAGAGGATTGTTAATAGTCATGGATCTAATCAAACCCTAATCACCAAAGCATAAACCATAGAATTGAACCAAACACCCCAAAAAATGATCGAGGATTAGAGAAACTAATAATTGTACCCCCCCCCCCCCCCAATTCTATGAAACCCTAGCACACTACCACGAAAGGGAAATGACCAAAATCAGATCAAACCAAAAAGAGAGAAAGCAAAATCGAATCGTGGGTAAGAAAGAAAATTGACTAAACTGGTGAGACGATGGCGAGGATTCTGAAGAGCCTCGACCAAAAAAGGATCTACCATAGCTTCCTTCTCGGTCATAGCAGCCATAGATGAAGAAAAGATTTGTATCTCTTACCTCTGCTATGTCTTATAAATCCTTTGTTCTATATCTTTGATTTTGTTGTCTCCCTTCACCGGAGATTAGAAGAGAAAACACATCAACGAAACAAAGGGGAGATAATTTCTGATGAGCTTTCTGTGAGAGAAAGAATAAAAATAAAGTTGCTTCCTTTGAGTTTTTTTTTTTTTTTTTTTTTTTTTTTTTTTTTTTTTTTAGTCTGTGTGTTGTGTTTTTTGTAGGTTAAGTGGGTTTTGTAAAGTTGATTTGGTTGAATCATAAAGTGTAAAAGTTTTACTCTATTTTATACTTTTGGTTGGTGTCCCATTTCATTTTTCCAAGGTGCATCGTTATGTACAATTTTGTCAAACAATATCAATGCACCGAAAAACAAAGTATCTACAATTAGTGTGGAAAATGTTGCAGTGTCATATTAGAAGTAAGATCGAACCTTACGTAATATACTTAATAATCTTAAATTCATGATATTATATTGTCTAAAGTCTAAACTAAAGCTACTAATTCATGGTTTTAGATTCAGTTCAAGTGTGATTTACTATGTTTTGTGGTTTGCGGTCAATTCTCTCCGATTATTTTTCATTAGTAAATTTCCAAATGAGACACATGACATCTATATAATCAATCCATTGGAAATTTAGAATGCCAATCTTTTAGTAATAAGATACCAAAGATTTTGCTGATTCTATATAGGCTGAATATTTTTTTAGCCAACCAGGGGTTTAAAATTCTTTATTTGCTATAAGACAAGAGTTGTTCTAAAAACATTTATCTGTCCAAATAAAAATAAAATAAAATTCAGTAATATATTTAATACAAAAAATATATCAAATAGAGAAAATGTGTTCAAGAGTCTTAGGAATTGGGTCTATATGTATTTCAGCCCAAACATAATTTTATAAACAATAATATTGCATTACTAAATAAATAATTTTAGTCATTTTAAAATAAAATATTCTGAAAAAACAAAATTTCTGTTATAACAATTACAGGCCTGAAATCTGCAATTGTCCAAATTATTTATCATTCACCAATACCAAATTATTAATTTATATAAAACACTTAAAATGATGTAAATAAAAATCTTTTATTTACTTATCTTTGTATTCAAAATTTATAACTAATCAAACTGAAAACGTTTGTGCACCAGAGTTTATTTAAAACTCATAATATAATTTTGCAATCAATTTTCTAATATCTATAGTCTACATTATTATTTAATTATTATTTTATTTTAATACTAGGAGATTCTGAGCCAAAACCCGTAATCTTCCAGACCCGAAACCACATCATGTAATATTAGTTTTTTTTTTTGAATATCTATAGTCTACACTATTATCTATTATCTAATTCACTACAAAACAAAAAACAATTTCTTTAATACTACTTAAAAAACTAAATTGAATATAAATTTTATATAACATATTTCTTAAAATATGAAACCCCGCACGTACGTGCGGGTCAGGATCTAGTATAAAATAAAAAGACAAGACCTTTGCTTCATTGTCATCACTCACAAACGTGAAACGTGTAAGTAAAATATGACTCTGCTTTTGTTTCTACCACTTCTCTTCCTCATCGTTATCCTTCTCGTCGCCGTCAAACACACAAAGCGGCAATTGCGCCGGCAACCACCATCTCCTCCAGGCTTACCTATCATCGGAAACTTGCACCAGCTCGGAGAATTACCACATCAGTCTCTGTGGAAACTCTCAAAGAAGTATGGTCCTGTAATGTTACTGAAACTTGGAAGAGTTCCAACAGTTATAGTTTCTTCTCCTGAAACAGCGAAACAAGTTCTTAAAGACTATGACCTCCACTGTTGTAGCCGTCCAAGCTTGGAAGGTACAAGAAAGCTTTCTTACAACTATCTAGACATTGCTTTCTCTCGATTTGATGATTATTGGAAAGAATTAAGGAGGCTTTGTGTTAAAGAACTCTTTAGTACTAAGCGAGTAAAGTCGATTCAACCAATTAAGGAGGCGGAGATGAAGAAACTGATTGACTCAATTACTGAATCTGCTTCTCAGAAAACTCTGGTTAACTTGAGTGATACGTTTCTTTCTTTAAACGTTAACGTGGTTTGCAAGGCAGCATTTGGTGTGAATTTCCAAGGAACTGTACTCAACAATGATAAGTTCCAAGGTTTAGTCCATGAAGCTCTCGAGATGTTGGGGAGCTTCTCTGCTTCGGATTTTTTCCCATATATCGGTTGGATCTTCGATTGGTACACTGGATTGCATGCGCGGAGAGAGAGAAGTGTGCGAGATCTTGATGCTTTCTATGAGCAAATGATTGATTTACATCTACAGAAAAACAGAGAAGAAAGTGAAGATGACTTTGTGGACTTGCTCTTGAGGTTGGAAAAGGAAGAAGCTGTTCTTGGATATGGCAAACTCACAAGAAACCACATCAAAGCAATCTTGATGGTAAGATATATCTCATCATTGGATATAGAATTTCTAGCAAATACTATGATGTTTGATATTATCTATTCTTTTTTGTCTCTGTAGAACATTCTACTGGGGGGAATCAATACTTCTGCAATAACCATGACATGGGCAATGGCGGAACTCGCAAGAAACCCGCGAGTGATGAAGAAAGTTCAAACCGAAATAAGAGACCAAATAGGGAAAAACAACAAAACAAGAATCGTAAGTTTAGATGAGATAAATCACCTCAATTACCTAAAAATGGTGATCAAAGAAACATGCCGGTTACATCCAGTAGCACCTCTTCTAGTCCCAAGAGAAGTAACATCTGAATTTCATATCAACGGCTACACGATTCAACCCAAGACAAGGCTTCATGTCAACGTATGGGCTACCGGCCGCGATCCCGAGATATGGAAAGATCCAGAAGAGTTTTTCCCAGAGAGGTTTATGGATTGTGACATTGATGTAAAAGGACAAGACTTTGAGTTGTTACCATTTGGGAGTGGTCGAAGAATCTGTCCAGCAATGTACATGGGGATAACAACAGTTGAGTTTGGTCTTGCTAATCTCTTGTATCAGTTTGATTGGAAGTTACCAGAAGGTTTGGCGGTTGAAGATATTTACATGGATGAAGCTTCTGGACTCACCTCCCATAAGAAACATGACCTTTTACTTGTTCCTGTGAAATCTTTAGACCCTTGATCTCTAAACTTGCAAGTTTAGTGCAACACCAAGTAATGTAATCGTTAAACCAAATAAACCGGTTCACTTTTAATTAGAAAATGGTTTTCTTCGTCCCACTTTTTAAGGGTAATTTGTACATTTGTTTGTAGACAAGACACCCAAACAATCTTGTCGAAAGTCTATCAAGAAAACGTCCACACCTTCCTCGTGAAAATGCTCCTGAGTGTTGGTGGACTAGGACTAGGAGGACCCTGGTCAGGGATGAGAGCACCTGCTTCATACAAACCGGTTTATGTGATTCATTTGTTGCCCCAATGGGCTATTTTACGGTTTTGTTAACACTACCAAGTAATGTAATAGTCAAACCAAATAAACCGGTTCAGTCAGAATCAGACCGGTCCAGTTTTATCCCGAGTTACAAAGACTCTTCGTTGCGGTGTCGGCCACTTCTATGAACTTTGCTTTGCCATGGTGATTCTGAAATGAGAAATTAGCTAAGGAGAAAGGAGAAACCTTTTCGATTAATCTCCATGAAGCTTTATCCTCGAACTTCTTCAGGACTCTTTTCTCTCCAATCCCTCCTCAAAAGCGGCTTCTCTCCAACCTTAAACTCCATCGACAGATTTCTTCGATATCTCTACCGTCGTCAGAAGTTTAATTGCATTCTTCACTTCTACTCTCAGCTAGATTCGAACCAAATCAACATCAACCACCGGATTTACTCAATCGTTTCATGGGCATTCCTCAATTTGAATCGATACGAAGACGCAGAGAAGTTTATCAACACTCAGATATCAAAAGCTTCGATTTTTCCCAGGACCCATATGTTAGATTCTCTAATTCATGGGTTTAGCGTTACACGTAATGATCCAAATAAGGGTCTTTCGATTCTCCGTGATTGTTTGCAGAATCACGGTGCGTTTCCTTCTTCCTTGACGTTCTGTTCACTTACTTATCGGTTCGTTGCGAGAGGAGAGATGGATAATGCTATTGAGGTTTTAGAGATGATGACGAACAAGAAAGTAAATTACCCATTTGATAATTTTGTTTCTAGTGCTGTGATTTCTGGGTTTTGTAAGATTGGTAAACCGGAGCTTGCGTTAGGGTTTTTCGAAACTGCTGTGGATTCAGGAGTTTTAGTGCCAAACCTTGTAACTTATACTGCGGTTGTGAGTGCTCTCTGTCAGTTAGGTAAGGTTGATGAAGTTAGGGATTTAGTTAGGAGATTGGAAGATGAAGGATTTGAGTTTGATTGTGTTTTCTACAGTAATTGGATTCATGGGTACTTTAAGGGAGGTGCATTAGTGGATGCACTTATGCAGGACAGGAAAATGGTGGAGAAGGGAATAAATCGAGATGTTGTGAGCTATTCGATACTAATAGATGGGTTGTCGAGGGAGGGAAATATTGAAAAAGCTTTGGGGTTATTAGGGAAGATGATAAAGGAAGGAATAGAGCCGAATTTGATTACTTATACAGCTATTATTAGGGGACTCTGCAAAAAGGGTAAACTTGAAGATGCATTTGTGTTGTTCGATAGAATTCTAAGTTTTGGAATTGAAGTGGATGAGTTTCTGTATGTGACATTGATAGATGGAATATGTAAGAAAGGAAATTTGAATCGAGCTTTCTCTATGTTGGGAGATATGGAGCAGAGAGGTATTCAACCAAGCATTCTTACGTATAACACTGTGATTAATGGACTTTGCAAGGCAGGGAGAGTGTCGGAGGCGGATGATATTTCGAAAGGAGTTGTGGGAGACGTCATTACTTATAGTACTTTATTAGATAGTTATGTAAAGGTGGAGAATATTGATGCTGTATTAGAGATTAGGCGTAGGTTTGTAGAAGCTAAAATCCCTATGGACTTGGTTATGTGCAACATTCTCTTGAAAGCATTTCTATTGGTGGGTGCATATGGAGAAGCTGATGCACTTTACAGGGCAATGCCAGAAATGGGTCTGACTCCAGACACAGCCACATACGCAACGATGATTGAGGGGTACTGCAAAACGGGTCAAATTGAAGATGCACTTGAGATGTTTAATGAGTTGAGGAAAAGCTCAGTTTCCGCAGCTGTATGTTATAATCACATTATTGATGCACTCTGCAAAAAAGGGATGCTGGAAACAGCCATGGAAGTTCTTATCGAGTTGTGGGAGAAAGGTTTGTATTTGGACATCCATACATCTCGGACCTTGTTACATTCAATCCATGCTAACGGAGGTGACAAAGGAATACTCGATTTGGTTTATAAAGTGGAACAGTTGAATTCAGATATTTGTCTTGGGATGCTCAATGATGCTATCTTGCTTTTATGCAACAGAGGTTCTTTCGAGGCTGCGATTGAAGTTTATATGATTATGATGAGAAAAGATTTAACTGTTACTTTTCCTTCTACGATTCTAAAAACACTAGTGGACAATCTCAGATCATTGGATGCTTATCTACTCGTTGTTAATGCTGGAGAAACTACTCTGTCTTCAATGGATGTGATCGATTACACAATCATCATCAATGGTCTCTGCAAGGAAGGATTTCTAGTAAAGGCCTTAGATTTGTGCAATTTTGCCAAAAGCAAAGGTGTCACTCTCAATACCATTACATATAATTCACTCATAAATGGACTTTGCCAGCAAGGTTGTCTTGTAGAAGCTCTCCGTCTATTTGATTCGCTAGATAACATTGGTTTAGTCCCATCTGAGGTCACCTACGGCATTTTAATTGACAATTTATGCAAAGAAGGGTTGTTTCTTGATGCTGAAAAACTATTGGACAGTATGGTATCTAAGGGACTTGTACCAAACATTCTCATTTATAATTCGATAGTTGACGGGTACTGCAAGCTTGGGCAAACAGAGGATGCCATGAGAGTTTTATCTCGGAAAATGATGGGAAGGGTAAAACCAGATGCATTCACGGTCAGTTCTATCATCAAAGGTTACTGTAAAAAAGGTGACATGGAAGAAGCTCTCAGAGTGTTTGCTGAGTTCAAGGAAGAAAACATCTCAGCCGATTTCTTGGGTTTTCTATTTCTGATCAAATGTTTCTGCACGAAAGGGCGAATGGAAGAAGCAAGAGGCCTTTTGAGAGAAATGCTTGTTTCAGAATCTGTTGTTAAGCTGATTAACAGAGTTGATGCAGAATTAGTTGAATCTGAATCGATCAGAGGATTCCTCGTCGAGCTGTGCGAACAAGGAAGGGTCCCTCAGGCTATCAAAATCCTAGATGAGATAAGTTCAACAATCTATCTGTCTGGTAAAAACCCGGGTTCTTATCAAAGGTTGCAGTTCTTGAATGGTGTGAATGAAAAAGAAATAAAGAAGGAAGACTATGTTCATGACTTTCATAGCCTTCACTCAACCATTAGCTCACTCTGCACCAGTGGGAAGCTGGAGCAAGCTAATGAGTTTGTTATGTCTGTGCTCTCTTGTATGCCTAGATAGGTCAGTATGTTTACTTGACTGCTCAAGCCACCAAAAGCAAACCGGAGATAATCTGAGTGATTTGAACAGATTAGCTGCAATCGAATAAGCAATTATGTTGGATTATCAATGTTGTTAGACATTTAATGGGTTCATTCATCGAAATGGAACTACTTTTGGCGGTTGATTAGCAGCTTTTTTGTAAGATAAACTGGTAAGTTAAAAATTCTCATAGCTTATGTTTTTGCAGTTTGAGAATTTCTGACAACTTAGTGTTTGTACTAAAACCTTTATACTTCTCATGAGTTCTTACTTCTTGTAGGAACCTCTACTACAGAGAGAATCAGCTGAATCAGAAAGGAATAACGATAGGAGCTCGAGGAACCGTAGGCTGTAGAGGAACACAGTCCCAGTCCTTACCAGCTCGAGCCACAGAGAAATGTTTGGGAATCCATGATTGTCCAGAAGCTTCTCTTTTCCTCAAAGACTCCCTCTGCTTCTCCTCCACATCTCTCTTGGCTTCTCTTGCTTTCTCCCAGTCGTTCGTCATGATTCCTTCACTCACCTCGCCCCACACCACCGCCGACTCGCTCTCACTCACCTCCTGCAAACCAGAAAAAACAGAATTACGAAATTGAGAAAAATTAGAAATTTCCCGAGAAATTTTTTAACAATAACCTGCAGGTTCTTGACAATGGGAGTTTTGAGCTTTGCTATGTTTTCACTCGCTTTGTATATAACCTCAAGCTGTCCAGTCTTTGTATTTTTCGCGGTAACAGTTCTGAAAACATTACCTCACTGTAAATTTTGTATTCAACTGCAATAAACTTTGAAAGATGATTCTAGTTTTGTTACCTGTCCCAATGTCCAAAGATTTCATAGAGCTGTTTCCTAGAGGAAGATTCAAAGATCTTGCCTTTAATGGCTCTTTTATTGTTTCCTGTGAATCTACTGAGAAAGGAATCGGGTAGTAACTGCAATTCAGCTCCGAGTCCCGTCTCCGGGCACTTTATCACGATTTTTCCGGCCCAGTGAGCTCCCATCGCCGGCAAAAATGTCATGAGAAGTTTTGGTTGGTTCATTTCGTAAGTCTCTTTGTGATTTAGAAGTTTCACTACTCTTCTACCCTTCACCTCAACCTCCACGTAAGCACCTGTAAATTAAAAAATGATTATCTCAGCCCACTAATTTTTTTTTTTTGTTTAAATTAAATTTGTATTTTTTTTCCTTTTGATTATACGTACCACGAAATTTAGGCGTGAAGTATTGACATAACAAAACGTCTACGTTTTCTTTCTCGTGACTTGCATGAAGAGCAGCAACTGGTGGATGATGCGATATCTGAAAAACAAAAAACATAACATAAATTAATTGATATACTAATAATTCTTTCACTACACACTAAAAAGTAATCTCAAACATTACTATAGTGATTATAGAAAAAAAAGAGGAAAAATAACACTTGCTTGTTCTACGAGAACGTTAATGTGACCATTGGACACGTGGTGAGTTTCGCCGATGACAGGATTGTATGGAGCCAAGCCAAAGGTCAATGGCCGGAGAGTTGAGATGTACCACGTCACCACTGATTTAAGCCGTTCGATTGGTTTGTCACGACGACTACATTCTCCGAGTAGATCGTGACCGTCGAAGCTGTACACTATCTCGCCGTAGCATTGAAGCTGCGATCTAGCTAGGTTCATTTGAGGTGGAAGCTTTCACGGTAAATAAAACATTGTTATTTCATAAGAAATATTAATATAGGTTAAAAAAATTATTCACCAAGTCATGTTACTAAAGTTACATCATGAAACGTGATATAATTCTGTTAAACTAAATGAAAATGTAAATCTACACAAAAGAAAGTAAGAGGAAGTTTCTATTAATATAGAAAACTTGGGGCAAAAGATAGAGTTTTCTTTTCGTAACTAAAGTATGTAGAAATAGAATGGTGCAATTTTAGATCCCAAAAACAAACTAAATATAGTACATCTTCAAAGATTCTAGATCACCTGAAAGGCTGAAAGTGACAAAACAGATAAATATACCTGAAAATTAGTGAGATCAGATCCTGGCCGTACGCTTTTGAAGAGGCTTAAGATCCGTTGGATGAGATTGGGAGGTGTGTTTTCAGAGTCTTTCTCATCTTCTAACGAGAAAGGCTTCACCAACACAACATGTTTTTTCATTTCTTCGATCTCCTTCTTCTCCCTTTGCACACAAAAACAACCCAATGAAACAAAATAAGAAGAAGAGTGATCTATATATAAGCGATTCCTCAAGTCTTTTTTTGATGTTGATGATTGTATAGGAAGCAGAATAAGTAGAGAAAAATCGAACCCTAATGATGAAAAAAAAGAGAAACTATGAATTGGAATTGTGATGCTATTGATAGGACGAAAACATCCAAAGAGATTCACCTAATAAGGCAAAATCTTTTTAAAAAGCAAATTTTACAAGGGGAAAGGAAACGCGTGGACTATTTTGCTCAAGCCTCAATGTGTGTGTGTATGTATATATAGTACAAAAAACAAATAATTTTTTTATCAAAAAAAAAAACCAAATAATTTTAAGAATTGCGATTTTTCTTGTAATAGTACATTATTTTGTAAATTATCTTTATTAGAGCAGCATGACAAATCGACAATCTCGTACAAGTCACCACCTTTTTTCTCACAAGTGAACTATTTCTATTAAACACATCAAAAGTAAAATTAATATATAATGTATGAATAATGGGTTTTTAATCATTTTAAATGAAATGAAATTATAATGAAATAGATATGTTTATTTAAATTATCTAATTGATATTGAAAAAACGATAAAAGTGGTTTGGTTTGTATGCGAATTAGCATTGACTCAAGCTCAAACTTTCTTAATGAATCCGAATTCAAGTGGAAGTCGAGTCTTCTATACTCTCAAGTCTTAACATTGTACAAAGAAAATAAATCCATTAACAAAGAAAAACATTGTACGAAGAAAAATTAAGAGCATCTCCATCGGTCAGACACTTAATAGAGTGTCTAACAAATAAAATAATATTAATTTTTTATTATTTAATTATTTTATTATTTAATTGTTTATTTAAACTAATCAGAAGAAGATATGTAAACATAGGTGTTTCAGAGTTTCTCAAATGAGAAACAGTTTCTGTCATCTCTCCTTCCTTTTTAATTTTTTATTCTGTTTTATTGGAGAGTGTCTCACCTAGACACTCCTAATGGAGATGGTCTAAGAGCATCATTATAGGTAGTTTCTTAGAGATAGATCTTAGTAATATTTAAATAATTTATTTGTAAAAGTGATTGTTAAGAGATAGTATTTTTGAGTTAAGATTTTTGTGTGATTAATGGTAGGCTCTTAACATGTGGTTCTTAGAAAAAAAAAATATTAATATAAAAATAAAATTTATAATTATAGAAAATTTAATAATTGTTGCAAATTAAAAAAATTAAAACATACATGAGATACAATTTATAACATAAATCACAAATATTTTAAACTTAATTTCTTCTATATTTTGTCCATATATGCTCGACCAAATCATTCTTCAATTGTTGATGCATACCTCGATCACGAACTCGAGCTCTATTATCGAAGAAATTAGAAGGCGTATCTGTAGAATATGTAAAATCCGCATAATCAAAATGTGACACGTGGCACCTCTTAGATATTAAAGTGATTTAAATTAAATAGCTTATTAAGGTATTAACTATTTAATTTAAATCACTTTAATACCTAAGATTCAGCTAACATCCCTCCTATAATGATGCTCTAAGTTGCTTTTAAGCAATAGACAAGTTAAATGACGGAGATCTATCGAAAGAAGAAAACGCCAAACATAAAATATTAGAATGGATATGGAAGATAATCATATTTTAATATATATGAAAAATGACACACAATGTTTAGAAGTTGTAATGGATAAATCATTCTCACCAATACGGTACGTAAATCATTTTTACGTGATTCTACTATTTATTTGAAAACCTATGAAAGAAAAATTATGCTTGTAGCTCAAGTTTTGATGTTTTAAATCTATTTTATCAAACATTTCCGTTGTTTCGTCATTCCAAAATTTTTATTTAACGTTTCTACTATTGTATTCCACACTTTCTTTCTTGTCCACGAAATCCATAAAAGATTGAAAATGAAAAAGACATATAGGTCAAGGGAACATTCAATTATTCGATCAAGCAGTAAATAGTGTTATGGGGAAGAAGCAGTACTGGTTAGATTAGATCAGAGCAGTAGGCAGATCCAATTTTTTTGACATTTTTCTTTGTATCATTAATGTGATCCGATCGATAAGAACATGGCTATATTAAATTCTAGACTGTTAGGGAATTGCTCCAAAGATTCATGCATTTTCGTTTTTTTTTTTTTTTCAGCCATACTAATAAGAACACAAAATATAGACCTGAAGAAAATGTACTCTTACGTAAATCATTTATGGCATATATGGATAGAAAATAAAGAGATAATGGTAGAAATAAAATAACTCAACCCAACATCATCCATTGTCGACCTAAATTAAATTGACCTAAATTAAATCTAACATCACCCTCCACCTAAAAACCATAAACTATATATAGTCACTGATGATCATCACCCGTTCTCGACTAACTTATTAACTCTATATAGTTTACTGATTGCACGAAAGTGTGTAACCTAACATCACTCGTTCCCAACTAAAATCATTAACTATATACTCTCTCCGTTTTCGAATAGTTGTCGTTTTAACTATATGCACATAAATTAAGAAACTATTAATGTTGTTAGTTTTTCAATATAAAAATATCATTAATTATCTACAGGGCCGGCCCTGAACAATATGGGGCCCCAGCAAAAAAAAAAATTTGTTGGGTGTTATAGATAAATTTTAAAAACTGATACCAAATCTTAAAATTTCAAGAAAATAGGGCCTCTCTTTGCAACAGAAAATATTTTTGGGGGCCTCATTTTGCAACAAAAAATTTGGGGGCCACAAACCATTGCCTCAAGTGGCTGTGCTCAGGGCCGGCACTGATTATCTACCTAAACATAATTTAACTAATAGTAAATCAAGTTGCATAATAAAGATAAATATAAAAAATAAAAAAAGTAATAAATTTTGCATCGAAAACTGAAAACGATAACTAATTAAAAACAAAAAAGTTTCTCTAAAACGACAACTATTCTAAAACGGAGGGAGTATAAATCACTAATTGTGTATTAAGTTTCTACTTTCTACTAACATCACCCGTTCTCAGCTAAAACCATTATATTACATCACTCACTGTACTAATTGAATATGAAGTCATATCAAATGCGTTTCTTTTTTCCTTTAGCATTCTAGTTTTTACACAGCTCTGATTATTACTTATTGATTCATGTAAAATTGCAAATCGCAGAACTTAGTACATTCTCAGACAGATATCATAAGAATTTATTACAATAGTTCTTGAAACAGTCGTTGGTAGCTCATAGAAGCCACTGATACACTCGTAAAAGCTTGTGAATTTGAACCAACCTTCAAGTCACTTCATTTGGGATCCGAAGTACGAACCCCCTGGCGCTTGAAGAATTCTCTGAATCCATAGGGACTCATATCATAATTGTACTGCCAAATGCAACAAACACGAAAAGATACCGATCCTTAGACTCTTCAATAGATGAATATGTGTAAATGTGTAAGAGACAATGTGGGATGCTTCAACTTACAGGTACAACTTTCACAGAATACCGAGTGATATTTGGATCCTGTACCTTTCCTTCATTACCCGCCTGCATCAGGAGGATTTTTAATCAACCAGATACAACAAAGGAGCGTATGTGGTTTAAACAGGTTAGATACCGGATATATAGGACTTTAGAACTATACTTGTTGTGGGCTATGGAATATTTCAATGAAAGGATATTCACTTTTCTGGCGAGTTATGCAGAATCCAGGATACTTGGGGCACTCAACCTGAAACAATCCAAACACAACAGTCACTAATGGTTTACCATCTATCTATTTATATTCTTTTAACATCGACTCACACGCATAAATTTAATGTTGGGATAGAACTCAGCAGCAGCTTCCTCAAGCATCCGGTCAAGATGTTGTGTGTAGTTACTTCTGTTTTATAGAAGAAGACGCAAATGATTGAATATAGCGAAGGAGTAAAAAATTTGAAGGGTTTTGGGTAAAGTTAAGTTACCTTATGGTGAATGCAACAACCACGGGATAGCCCTGGTGAAGGAGTTGGACAAACTCTCTTTCTGATGTAAAATGGAGAACCCGCGAAGGCCCGAGATCCTTAGGGTAACCACTATAATACCTTGATTTCAACAGAAAGATCAACCCATTTTCATGATTGGTTTTCTACACAGTATCGCAGTTTATAGAATTAACGAAACAAACTCAAAAACTCAAATTACTTGCAAGTTGAGCGAAGCTGGAGAAGCATTCTATCGAGAAATGTTGAATCTCCCATCTGAGCACACAAATGAATCAGATTCAAGAGAATATCATCATATTCAACATTGCTTATTAGGTGAACACAGACCAATTCTCAAGAAGATAACTTATCAATTCTTCCGGTTAATAAAGCCAATGCAAAGATGAAACTCATCAATTTAAGTTAATGAAACCAACGTAAAGTATTCTCCCTGAAGATTTTTGATAAAAGGGAACATTTTTTCATTCAGGTATTTCATCGAACAGCTTGAGAGCGCTCAGAATAAACATCCTCTGATTTACTCACCATCTAAGTAAAAGCACTCGTGATTTCCATAAACGTATCCAAATTTCGATCAAAACGCATAAAGAGCTTAAATTTCGCCCATCAATCCAAAACCCAGAAAAAAAAAGTAAATCTTTTTTCTCACATATGACGAGCGGATGATCTTATGAAAGCAGAGAAATTTCAATCATCTTCTATCTTTTCTAGTGAAACGAATTCGAATCAAACAGCAACCAAAAGCTTTTGAAGCGAAATCAAACCTGAATGATGTTCGCTGCTTCCTCCGATTTGCTTTCTAGGGAAGCAAGTGACAATCTGCAGAGGAATTTTTGAAACTCTCTGCTTCTTCGAGAATGGTGGGCTTTGCTTTGGGTTCATGTCGTTTTTTTGTATATATATATATATTTTATTTTTGCATCAAACTTTAATCCAAATTTAATACTGTAATATAGATAAATTAATGTTATATACAACTCTTTATCTTATGATCCGAACTATTGATTTCATGATTCGAACTTTATATTAAACATTTTATTCATCGAATCTTACATTTTCTTACTACTTAATCTTCCAATTTTTGAAACAATCATGTATTTATTAAAAAAAATCTAAACCCAAAAAAATGCTTAATCCGGTAAACTTCAAAATGGTGAATGAAATGTGATATTAAGCCAAGAGATTAGTCATAATGGGACGTTTATGGCAAACGGCTCGTAATTGGACGAGCTTACGCATAGCCATTCCAGGATTCTCGGTCATGTCAATATCTTCACCGTTGACTTTTTCCCAGTCAAAACATTGAATCAACGAACCTAAAGCCAATAACACCATCCTCTGTCCTAAAGTCGCACCAGGACACGTCCTTCGTCCGTTACCAAACACCATCAACTTCTTTGCAGCTTCTTCGTTTTCGAACCGCTCTGGCATAAACCTCTCGGGCTCATCCCAGAGTTTTGGGTCTCTATGGATGCCCCAAGCGTTCACTAGCACGATCGTGCCACGTGGTATGTCGTATCCGCCAATCTTGATATCTTCAGAAGGAGAACGTGGAACAAGGAGTGGTGCGGCTGGACACAACCGAAAAGTCTCGGAAACAATGTTTTGGAGATAAGGAAGATTCGCAATGTCTGGTTCATCGACCAATCGCTCTTCTCCAATCTTCTCGTCTATCTCAGCTTTCGCCTTTTTCAACACTTCAGGGTTTTTTAATAAATTTGCCATCGCCCATTCCAATGTTACGGCCGCAGTATCCGTTCCCGCTAGCATCATACTCTATATACATTAAATTCACAAGTTGTTAGTTCATCTACACATATAAATATCTTTTTTTTTTAATATAAATGTAAAACGCAAATCATCTTTCTTCTTTCAGTTTTATGTTTGCATTTAGTGAGTATATTATAGGTTTATATGTATGAGAGTACTTACGAGCATGAGGCCTTTGATGATGACGTCGCTGTAATACTTGGGTTGGTCTAGTTGTAAAGACAACAAGTGACTAACCATCGTGTTACTCTCTCCGTTTCTTCGACATTCGTCGAGCAGTCGCTGTAAGAAAGCGTCCATGGCTTCGCCGAGTGCTTTCACTTTTTTCTCGTAGCTGTGTCCGAACACTTTAAGAATCGGTAGATAATCTCCTGGATGGCTCGCACCACTGTTATCGTTGATGTCCGTCACTAGTTTCTTGAATAGATTCGCTTCTTCCTTGTTATGAACCTTTATGAAATAATCATTTAATAGGTTAATAAACACTTTTAATTACAAGAATGGTAGAAAGTGTAAAAAGGTGAGTGAGAATGTTCATATATAAACGAACCTGGTCTCCGTAGTAGCGTCTCCCTGTGACCATGCGGACAATATTATTGAACGTCAAATCTGCAAGAAGAGGTTCAAGCTCAACGACACGGCCGTGATCATATTCACGTGAGAGTTTCGTGAGCAACCGTCGAATCTCGTCTTTACGTACGGAGAGGAATCCGGTGAGACGGTTAGAGGAGAGGATCTCAAGAGAGCAAATACGTCGGAGATTACGCCAATGGTCACCGTAAGCTGCGGTTCCGATCGTGGTGTAATCGTAAGCGACGTATTTAGCGGTCAGAAAATGTGGTCTGTTTGTTAAGATGACGTCGTTTTGACCAGTGAAAGATTCTCTTACGAGAGGCAATGAAGAGATCACGACGACTTGGCGTGAGCCGTAGCGGAGGGAGAAGATGTCGCCATATTTTTCTGCGAAGCGGAGGAAGAGACGGTGGACCGGTGGTTTCACGAGGTGGAGGTTGCCGACGATAGGAAACGGAGTTGGTCCAGGTGGGAGATTAAAACGCTGCGTTTTGGATGAGTATAAGAATTTGTAGTATAAGAATTTGTATGCTATGAGAAACAATGCAAGTGGCAAAACAATCAAAACGTAATCCATTTTTTTTTCCCTTTTTTGGGTTGTTTTGTTTTTTTGTTTGTTGATACAATTTTGGGTTGGTTTTTGTGAGAAGGTTTTGAGTGAATATGGTGGATGGTCTATGTGTATATATATGGATTAGTTTATAATAAAAACAAAGTAATAAACACAATAAAATAAAGAATGCATATTTTGAACGTTGACTCTTGGAGTTTCGTTTTTTTGTCTTCCTTTATTGTTTGATACTTTCGATGCAAGGAGGCGGTATATTTTAGTGTTGGTCACTAGTCAAAAAATTATATAGGTTAGTTCAGTTTTCGTAAATTATTTACGTTTTGATAAGTTTTATTTTTATATAACTATAAAAGATTTTGACAAAAACTAAAATTGTTGTTATGATTTTTGTTTAAAATTCTTACCAATACTGATTAAAACTAAATATTTATGTGGCTATCTCCCAAAATATGTATATTTACGTGTACAAGGTATCTATATAGAGAACTAATTAGTACTTTTGTGTAGGTAAATTGATCTGATTTGTTAAAACTTACAGCTATTATATTTAGAAATTAGAAATAGGAAATTGGATATATGCTTTATATTAGATCTCTGAGTATTTGTATTCTTAGATAATCGATTTCGGAATTTCAACAGATTTAATCTTATACTCTTAGCTAGGCATCACACGTCCGATAATAGATGTAAGTTACATCGTGTAACCTATTACATATCCATAATAAGATAAAACAAAATACGTGGTATCCACCTTATTATATATGATTCAATAATTAATCACGGCCGACCTACAAAGTAAAAACAAATACTTAGATTTTCAGATAATTTACAGAATGAATAAACGGATTCAAATATATGTGTGTTAGTAATCACTAATCCACTTTCATTAGTTTACAGTACACATTACTTTGATAAATATTTTACGCTAATTAGAATATAGCATAGAGCAAATTAAGTGTACCAACCTTGTTTTCTAAAATGGTCCACAAATAGGGAGAATTTTAGTTGACAAGGAAGTCGACGAGAACCAACATGAACCCACTGCGTTAGTTGTTTTTTTCAAGCTATTGATTATACAACGTTCCAATTACGACTTCTCAAATATGGCTGCTCGTTAAGTATACGATTTTTGATAAAGTATAATAATAATATATGGTCGATCGAAGGTGACGACGAAAGTTCATATTTTAATCTTGATATATAATTGTTATATGTAGATAAATAGGTGACAAGAAAAAATATGGTTGTTTAGTGAAGATATAAATCGAAAAATCTGCATTAATTCAGATTGTACAGCCAATTTAGGTTGTCTGGCCAATCGTAACGCGGGCAACTCTCAGCGGCGTAAAAACGTGTCGTATATTTTCATTGGTCGATAAGAAACATCTTGTATATGAAATAATTTGTTTTTTGATAATCCGTGTAAGTTGATAATTGAGATATTCGCGATCTGAACTAGATCCCCTTAAATGATGCACGATGTGAATCATTTTCAACGATGCACGATGTTTCACTCGAAACATTAGTTTATGACCATATTTCTAACTCTACAGTATAGTTATGAATAATATTATTATTTTTAGGTAAAATTTATAGAATCTTTCAAACGGTTGAATTCGTTCGTTGTAAAAAAATTGTTGGTTACGTTGAACAGTCGACAAGTGTAAAGTAAATTATTCGTCCACTAAAAGATGGACTAAACCAGTAATCCGTATTTTTGACCATTTCACTCAGTTGGTGTTGCTTCTATACTGCAAGAAAACGATTAAGAAGATCTTTTAAAGAATAAATATGAGTTTGTTTTCGAAATTTTTTAGACGCTCAAAAAACTTAAAAAATAGAGATAAATGTGACTGAACAAAAAGTCAAGTTTAAACTTTAAAAGAGAAGAAGTGGTGGCGATGCTTTTGGATTTGGTCGATAAATGATCTAAAACTCAATTCGACATTTGATGACATTAAGGATAAACATTGGTTTAATAGGATTGAACTTTCGTATGAAGCAATGAAAACCAAAAAAATCAAAGGAAAAAAAGGAGAAGTGACTGATGATAGAATATTTTTTTATGGAATAAAATCGAATATCAAATTAAATTTAAAAACTAACTTAGAGAGAGCAAGACGACGAATACAAATATCACAAAAATGTTAAAGATAAAATGGAACAAGGAGTAGTCGAGTTGACCCGCCATCTTAAGTCGGCTGTTCTGGTCCAAATTGAAGCCTTTTATTTATTTGTATTATATAAGTTAAGGTTTCGTAAGCATGGCCCAAATTCAGCTCAATGGTGCTAATTGGTGAAGTCTCAAATTCAATCACTTATTTTTGTTGGCGGCACGGTAAAATCTGTTATATTATTTTTAAATTTTTTTTTTTATAAATTCTATCAATTGATCCGGTCAGTTGCTGTAGAAACGTACTGAAGTGTTTTAGAGTAGACTTCTCTCTGAAAGACCACCATACTGTCTGTTCCGAATTTGGAATGTTTTCCGACTAATGTCAGGGATAGCCAGATCGTCTGTTACTGACTAACGGGTAAACTGTTTAACCCAAACCCAAACTTTCCACATATATATAATTTTTGTTCTCCGAAAAGATCGAATTTGGATTAATTCCTTCGATCATACTAATTTTTCCTCAGTTTTCTCTTTCCACACATACTAATTTCTTTTGTACCTAAAATCACTAAAATACGAATAAAATATTTCTAAGAGGTTGGTAGAAATTTTGTGAGATTAGACTGTTTGACTAACAACAATATAAGAACATGTGAGATATAGTCAGGAAAACGGCAGTCATATTCATTCACTCGTATCATCATTTCTGTATCTATCCTTATTCTTTCGGAATATCCAATTTATTGATATATTCGTCGTCGCTAGAGATTAGAGAAGGCAAATTTTCTCTCTTTTTTTTTTTTATTGGGTGGTAAAATTTACATCATAAATGTATCTATCCATATTTTATGGAAATTGAAATTTCATAGCTATTGACTGACAGTTACTGATCAAAAAAGAGAAAACAATTTTTGTATCTTTTTTTTGCAGTATTTTTTTCTTCTAATTCTTGCCATGCCGCTATGCTAGTGCCAGTTATCATGTTTGACATATTGATAAAGATTCAAGACTTAGCATCAAGATCATTTCTACTATTTGCTTGGACAAATTCCAGTCTCAAATGTTTATTTCTTTATAAAACATGTCAAAAGAGATTAAAATCTGCAGATCAAAACTAATCCATCTCGTTATAAAACGTGTTTGGATTTATGAATTTAGAAACATTTAAAATCGAGATTTACATGTCTAATAATTGCTAGTCCGTCTGTCCGTGTACTACAATGTTTTTACATGTTTGATAAAAGTACGTACAAGTGGAGGTTGTTGATAATTTGTAACAAGTTATTATAGTTACGAAAATCAAGTGACTCATGTATATTTTAATGCAAAGTATAGAGAGTGGACTGATCTTGGTTAATTAATGAGTGAGAACACTTATACATTTCTAGTGTAATCTTCTCCCTCGTCAAGTTTGATATTACTTAATTTTAAATGGTTCACTCTTTTGGAATTTCGTCTTCTTGTCAAAAAATGATCCTTGGATTCTCTTCTCTTTTTTTTTTCCCTCAACTATAACTTTATTAAACAAACCAATATTACATGGGCTATAGATAAAAGCTCTTCACATGTTCTTTGGGAAGCTAGGTGAGACGCTCTGGTTCCTTTGTTCAAATAGTGTTTGGATTTCATATTTTCCTTCGCAACTCTTCCTCTTTACATATATGTCTTTATCGTTTGCTTAAATGTTTGGTCTAAATTAGCTTCCTCGTTCTGTTGGGGTCTTGTTTCCCTTTTTTAGGCTAAGTTTCTAGAGACATTATGTTCGTGTGCCGGCATATATATTTCAATTTGTATCCTACCTTGGTTTCTTAATAAAATTCAGATGACAAAAAATAAAGATAAAAGCCCCACATGTTTTGTAGAGAAGGCATAACAAAGTTAATAACCTTCTAAACTGAAGATATTTTCACTTTGGATTTTATCCCAGTCACGTATTATCAAGTGGATGAAAAACCACAAAACGAGCTGGCTGAATCATTGAAAGTAAACCGATAATAACCTTTGCCTAATAATTTTAAGCAAATGATCACCTAAAATATCTAACTCCAACACATATCTAAGGAATTTATTGAACAAAAAACATCAAATTGAAACAACAATCTAAAAACACGGCAAACTAAATTTCGTGCCAAAAACCGGAGAGAATCGGAAAACAGGATTGGTAAAGTAAAATCGAATTCGGCCATGAACAACCGAGAGCAAAACAACAAGAATCGCCAACGGCAAACCGGACAAAAGCCAACCAAACACCGCAAAGGAAACGATGCATGTTCGAAGAAAAGTTTGATGAACAGAATTTAATAACCAGAAAAAGTTCTGAACGGTAACAAAAACGGTTTCTCTCTCTCTGAAAATTTGAAGAGAGAGAGTTGCCAAAGATCTCTCGGATTCTTTTCCTGTTAGAAGAATCTAATGAAAAAAATATCAACCATAACAATAGTGGTATAGTAAAAATTTAACGGTAATAATGTCTCCTTCACTGTTCTAATCCTCTTTTTCCAATATTATTTACTTTTCAAGGATAAAAATGAAGCTGGAGAATAAAACTATGTCGTTTTGAAAGACATGAACCATTCTTGTCTCCAAGCCACCACCAATCTCAGATTCTGAGCCTCATGAAAAGATAAAAAAAATACAATTCGAATTTTATGTTTTCTCATAAACAAAAAGTAAACCCAAATTGTTTGTTAATTTCCATCGAAACAAGAATCGATTTGACACGAAGATTTGATGAAGCAAGAGCGTTGTGTAGAAGAACATGGCGATTCATGAAGAAATCCAGATATCAAGAACACAAGACCCTTGCACTTCCAATGCCTCGCCGTCTCAAGATCACCGGTTCGAGAAGCTTCGCGGCGTCCGTTGGCGAATCAACCTCGGAATCTTACCGTCTTCTCCTTCCTCCACCATTGATGAGCTTCGTAGAGTAACAGCTGATTCCAGAAGAAGGTTTTGACTTTCCCCTACATTTTCACCATTGAAGATTTTGCTTTTAGGGTTTGCGTTTTTCGATTTGGTAGCTCCAGATTCAAACTTAAAGATTTGTAATTTCTCAGACAAAAAAAATAAAGTTTTGATTTTTAGATGTTGTTGTTGTTTCTTAGATATGCTGCTTTGAGAAGACGACTCTTAATTGATCCACATTTGCCTAAGAAAGGAACAAATTCTCCAGATCTAACTATTGATAATCCCTTATCACAAAATCCTGGTAAAACAATACTGTCTCATCTTTTCTCAGATACATTCAATTGCAGTTTCTCTCCTATGTAATGATTATATAAAGCTTGCTTTCTGGATTGTGTAGATAGTACTTGGGGAAGATTCTTTCGTAATGCAGAGCTCGAGAAAACGCTTGATCAAGATCTTTCTCGGTTGTATCCAGAACATGGGAGTTATTTTCAATCCTCTGGATGTCAAGGGATGTTAAGAAGGATACTTCTTTTGTGGTGTTTGAAGCATCCTGAGATTGGTTATAGACAAGGTTAGATACTTGATTTTTCGAGGGGAAACTGCGGTAATGGTTTGTGGTTTTAATGGTGTTTTTACGGTTTTTGGTTTTAGGGATGCATGAACTATTGGCTCCTTTGCTTTATGTTCTTCAAGTTGATGTGCAATATCTTACGGAAGTTAGATCAAACTATGAAGATCAGTTTGTTGATTTGTTTGACGAATTAGCGTTTCAAGAACGTGATTCTGGAGCGTATGATTTCGATATAAAAAAGGTTTTGGATGATTCTATGGAAGATGAAGAAGATGGAGATGGAAATGGTTCACCCTCTGGAAGCACCAAGAAGAAAAAACCAAAGAGTTTCGATGAACTTGATACCGAGACGCAGACTGTTGTGCTGTTGAGTGATGCGTATGGAGCAGAAGGCGAATTGGGAATCGTCCTCTCTGAGAAATTCATGGAACACGACGCTTACACAATGTTTGACGCTCTTATGTATGGTGGATCTTCCCTCGGTTCGGTTTCTGTAGCGAATTTCTTTGTGTATTCCGCTCCAAACGATTCTGTCACGGGACTTCCTCCTGTGATCGAAGCTTCTGGGGCTTTGTATCATTTACTGTCTCTAGTCGATGCTTCTCTTCACAGCCATCTCGTTGAGCTTGGCGTTGAACCGCAGTACTTTGCTCTCCGTTGGCTACGGGTTTTGTTCGGGAGAGAGTTTCCGCTGAATAATCTATTGATTGTGTGGGATGAGATATTTTCTGCTGACAACTCCGAGGTAGAGAGAGGTATTGAGGCTGATTTAGGGTTTGAATTCAGGATCCTTAGCTCTCCCCGAGGAGCTCTGGTTGCTGGCATGGCGGTTTCGATGATACTTTATCTGAGATCATCGCTGCTAGCAACTGAAAACGCGACTTCTTCTCTCAAGAAGTTGCTGAATTTTCCGGAGGACATTGATCTGAGTAAAGTTATTGAAAAGGCTAAGACATTGCAGAGTCTTGCTTTGGAAATCAATGCTCATCGTGATTTAATTCCAAAAGGGTCGAGAAAACCGATGAGAGGTCACAGCTTATCAGTTGATTCTATCTCACTTGGTTCTTCTCCTGTGGGAATAGTACCTGAGAGCTACTGGGAAGAGAAGTGGAGAGTTTTGAACAGTGCAGAAGAAGAAGAACGGAAGAAAAAAGCGTTGCAGAGACCAAAAGCAGGGAAGAAGAGTTGGTCGGAAAGAGTGAAGCTAAGGCTTACAAGAACAGAATCCGATCCGTCACCCGCTGAAGCAAATAAAAGCGGAAACAAACCGCCTATTAGACGTAGTTTGCTCGATGATTTATCCCGACAACTCGGGGAAAAAGAGATTGAGCCTCCCGAGTTCCCAAACCCGGACACTGATATCGAACGCTCATCTACGGTATCTGATACTCCCAGTGCAGATTATGAGGATAACAGTTCTGATAGAGGCAAAAGCGACAACCACACGGATCTGCCTCTTTCAATTCCTGAGAACGAGCCAGAGGCGAAATCAGGGATGAATATCTTCAGAGAGAGGAAGATTCTTTCGGGTAAATTCCAGAGGCTATGGAGGTTAGGTAGAAACTTGTCCGGCGAAGAGACCTCTGAGACGAAAGAAGCTAAACAGATAGATTTTGAAGACGGAAAAACCGATTCAGATTCAACTGCAGGTAATGGAGATGCCTTAAAGAATACAGGAAGATCCATGCTTGAACATATCAAGGTAAAATTCCACGAATCGAATAATGTATTTGCTTATTATGAACCAAAATTAAACATGACTTGACTCATTTTTTTGATTGTTTCGATATCAGGTGATAGAGTCAGTGTTGGAGCTAAGTCCACCGGAGAATATGGCTGTGACTGAGAACGGAAGAATAACAGTTGACGAAGCTCTTAGAGAACTTCGTAGACTTGGAAATATGTTATTGTCAGAAATGTAAAGTTTATTGCAGACTCGTGTATTATGAACATTCATTTGTCTCTATGTGTGTATGTGTGTGTAAGAGAGAGTGTAATTGTAATGTATATATGAGAAATTTTGAAGAGGGTTTTGTTTTTCTTTTAGCAGTAGTTGTACAATGAGAAATCTAGGTTTCTTCTAGTACAAGGGACTTGTGTTTCTTTGGACTTTGTAAACCCTAACGGGTTTTTAACGGTTCTTAGTGACAAGAGATATCCAGAGTACATTAAATTATAGATTTCCCTCCTTTTTTTTTTGCGCCTGACCGTTAATTCTTACCGTTGAAATAATTTGCAAATTTCTGTTATTTTCAATTTGAAAAAAAAAAACATTAATTGAGGGAAAAATACAAAGGATTAAGGTATATTAAGCTTAAATAAGTATTAAAATTAAGGAAAAATAAAAAGAAAAGAAAAAATCCTGACAAATGTAGAAGAGTCTTATACTAGAAAAGAATGAAAGAATAATGATAAACCTGAATCAACTCGAGATTAAGAAGAAAAAAAAAAGGTCAAGTCATTGTGATGACCATTCTAGAGAAGCATATGATTATGACTGTGTTGTTGCTGAGTAGCAGATGAAGGAGGAGCTGGGAGGGCAAGGAAAGGGTCACCAAAAGGATTAGGAGATGAAGTTGAAGGATTTGGTGAGAACTGATGATGATGATAAGGTGAATAGTTGTTGTTATATGGACTTCGATTATTCATCATCATCATTTGTTGTTGTTGCATTGCCATTTGGACGTTGGTTGGTGGAGCCATGTTGTTTGACATTGCGAAAGGATCTTGTTGCATCCCGAATGGGTTTGGGTTTGATAAGGCTGGTTCTCCGGGTATAGCGGTGGCTCCAAATCCGTAACCGGCGTTTGTTAATTGGATCTGTCTTCTTGCTGTATCGTCTTCGTAGAGACTGTCTAGTAGAAGATTGTCGAATCCTCCACCCTGTAAACATAGACACCATTTGAGTAGGAATTAGAAATTTTTGAGTTTCTATTTGAATGAAAGACTTACGAGTTTTGTTGCTATTGCGGGACGAGGATTGTTGTTATTGTTGTTGTTGTTGTTCTGTGGTGTGACTAGTGCAAGTTCCCAACCACTTCCTCCAGCTTCTATTAAGCTTAGACTATTAGATGGGCCTGAAGTTTCATGTCCTGCAGAAATGATTTCATCAATGTTGATATCTCTTCTCACAATGGAAATGTAAGATTGTTCTAAATGGATTTGTTTTATTTACTCTACCTGGTGGATATATCGCGAGAGCGAATGCGTTGTTTTGCTCAATCTCTGCGGCTTTTGGATTTATTTCATGCAATCCCTGCACCAATCACAGGAAAAGGGTCAATGAGTATAGAGGTTTGGTATTTACTACAATGTATAGAGATGAAGAAGAGTCACCAGTAAGTCATCAGTGTCTATCAATGGTGAAGGTTTAGCTTCTTCCTCTTCTTTCTCCTCTTCAGGCTCTTCTTCCTCTTCTTCGATAACCGGCTGATCATTTTCGGTGTTTTCGTTTTGGTTTTCTTCTTCTGCAGGTTCTTCAGGCTGTTGTTCTTGTTCTTCTTCTTCTTCCTCTTTTTCCTGATACTCCTGTTAATAAAAACAGAACAAAATGTCAAATACTAAAGAAGACCTTCATCATCAACCAAGAACTGAAATAATGATTAAAGATGGAAATTCTTTCTACCAGTTTTTTCTGTACAGAACCACTCTGAGGCGCTTCTTTAATGTACTCTTCCATTGTCGCGAGAAACGAAGGAGGAGGCTGAAACCGGTTTTTAGATAAGTGAGAAATGAATCACACATCAGTCTTACAAATATAAACTTGATCCCAAAAGCTAAGAACTAACCTGTCTTAAGGTTGGGAACTGAAAGTTCCTAGCTAGCTCTAGCCCTTTGCAGTAATCATAAAACTCAGCCAGATTTTCAGCCTATGCAAAGAAAAACATCAACAAGCAAAAAGCTTAACGTCTAGCGAAAATCTTATCAATCAAATGAAATAAGTGTAGTTGCTTCACCTGTTGACCAGCCCGTTTGTATACGTTTAGAGCTTTAACTGCATCATGTCTTGACATCTCAAAGAACTACAATGACAAAGAGAAATATACAATTTAAATAGAAAACGTAGAGCAAATTAACAACTGAAAGTAGATAATGAAACATTACAGACCATGTCTACAAGATTAATGATTCCATCATTGATGGCACAATAGATTTTGAAGCTTTCTTTAAGCACCAATGCAAGAGCGTATTGGATTAGATAGTTGCTATAAGCTGCTCCTTCAGGCTGCAAAGCTGATAACAAATTAGAAGACATCTTCTGCAACGTACAAAAACAAAGGGTATAAAGCTTTTTTTGGAGTTTGCTTATGACTTTACCTGACATCCGATAAGCCGGTAAAGAAGCTGTTGTAACGCGGGTAATTGTTCTAATAGATCTTCACCAGACAACATCCTTGTTCTATGCGTCTACAAAAACCATTGAAATAAAGATTTCTATGGTAAAAGATTTCTGATAATGTGTTCTGTTTCTTGATGATGAGAAGTCAGGAGACAAACCTTGGAAGCTGCACCTGAAGCTTTTGGTAAACGCTCTGCCTCGATGTCATACTTTAAAACCCGATAACATTCAAGCCGCTCTTCAAGAAAGAGCGCGTATGTTCTAACCCAAGCAGAACAATCCCACGCTGCATCAAAAACATTCAAGATTCTAAGTGATATTTGTGTATCAACAAGAACTGAACAAAATGCATATATATATATATATATATATAGATAGAGAATTAGTTTATTCACCAAGAGGACTTGTATCGTCTTTGAAGTTAGATATTCTGAGTATATGTCTTCTATGTGAGTAATTTAGAAGCTCTTCTCTGAATGTTGGATCACCTTCTCTTAATGTTCTGTGAATTACTATTAACACCTTCATTGCAACCTGTGTGATTGTCAAATTCAAAACAAATTCACAATATATCGACAGAAAATGCGGTTCGAAATTTAGGAAAATTAAGAAGAAAACTTACAACCCAATTGCGAGTTTTCGATAATCTTTTAGATAATGCATGAATGCAATAAGCTACATCTGCTCGTGGTTGTATTACAGATGTCGCCGAGAATATTTCTGCGTAAAAAATCATCGTTAAAAATTCTCCGAATCATATAGAATTTGAAGCGTTGGAATCGTCCAAATTTGGTAAGAAAAAAAACAGAGGAACTTACTACGAACATGACGTTCTTTTGGTGGAGATTCAACATGATTGGTTGCTTTAACGATCGCAATATCTAAATCCTATAACGATCCAAATAAGAAAAAATGCATCGATCGTTTAGACAGAATCCGAATCTTGAATTTCAAGATTTACAAAATGGTGATTTTAACAAATCAAGAATCTGACCTTGAATTCGCTGTTGACCTTAGCGAGACCAACGGTGGTTGTGTCTTTGAGTGCTCCATACGCTTTTCGAAAGCTCGTGAACGTTCCCATTGATCGACACTTTTTGATAATTAACGTTTCTGATCTGGAATATGTGATGAAGAAAAAGATGTGGTAATGATGTGATCTTGATAGAAGACAATAGAGAAAGAGAGGAGATTTGATGATGTTTTGTTTAATGGTTGTGCAATAAACGGAAACACAACGATAACAGACTTGTTTTTTTTTTACAATAAGCTTCTTTTTTTTCGTCACCCTCAAAACGTGCGTAACAGACTACTAATGATCTGGATAATTTCCTTTTTCGTTTTTTTTAACAATAATAATAATAGATTCTTCTTTTGGGTTATTTGACGTAATTTTGGGGGAAATTGGCAAAGAAAAATAAAGAGCATTGAATTTACAAATATTTTTAGAATTTAGTATTTACCATGTTATTTTATCGTGTGACAAGCTATTTGTATTTCACATTTTAAAAAAAAAAAAAAAAAAAAAACAATATTTACAAAAATACCAGTACTTGCCTCTCGGCCAAGGAAAGGAACATAATGTACATCAACTACTTAGAGCATTTCTATCGGCAGAAAACTGAAAGTTTTTCAAAAAAAAAAAAATTATTATTTTAAAATTGTAATTTTGTTTTTATTTTTTTTATTAATTGGACCATTGAGACTATGACATGTGGCAACGACGTCATAGAAGCGTTTCTCAAAGTTTCTAAAATGAGAAATCGTATATGCTTTATTTTTTTTTCTCTCTTTTATTATTATTTTTTATTAAAGAGTATCTAATCAAGATATCCCCGATGGAGATGGTCTTAGCAATTAACATGTACTATGCCCTCGATTGAAAGCTCTAGTCTCCCTAAATGTACATATTTATTTGTCAAAACGCATAGCTTGGGTGGTTCCACTTCATAACAGCGTTAATTTGTGAATTCATTCATCTTTTATTTATGCATTTTAAAGTTTTATAGTATGATTTACTTGCAAATCTTATTTACATAGTAGCTCGGATACTCTTCTGGAAACATGATTTGGATCAAGTTTCTATTAATCCAATGCCTACTCTTTGGAATCTATCTATATATGTTTGATAATTAATTGGACTATACAGATATAACTTCATATCACATATGTTAACAATATTCTCTAGGAATGGTTCTTTTGAGTTCTAAGTAGTTTCGGATGATAAAAAAAAAAAAAAGTTTATGATTAGTACACGTCTAAGGGAAGATGGTCATATGGATCCTTGCTTGGTTTGCTTTGTTTCTAACTACTCGTCTCTTAAATTGAGTGTTTTATCTATTCAATTATTATTTTAAAACGTATCTCATCCATCTCTTCTTTTGTTCGATAGAATCAACAATGGGGAGCTTTGACCATGAATAGAATCGGATTCAAGAGCCTACCTAATCACACGCTTTACAATAATGGAAACACCAAGACTATCCTATATATTTAGACCAGGTCAATATAACATTTTCAAACCTTTTCTTTAATTTGAGACATTAATATTGCTTGTGTTTTCGAATTAATTTTGATATATAAATTGATTAAAATAAATATCTCCACTCGAATTAATTTAAAACACGGAACAAAGTTTAGGAGATGTCATTATTGACTGCCAACTTAGCACTAAATATACCTTCGTAACAGTTTTTCTTTTGTAGTAAGCCATCGGAATTATTTAAAGCCATAATATACATACTAATCTTCAGAATCTATAGAGAATAATTTTCGTATTGAAAACATCAATAATTTCTACTAGTATGATTAAAATTTCACACAATTTTATATTTCAACTTTTACGGTGAACTTTTGGATACTAAACCCCATGGTTTTTAAGATTATATATATACTAGGTCCGGACCCGCACGTACGTGCGGGGTTTTGTATTTTTATAGTGTTTTAAATAGAATTTGGTACAGTAGTTTTTTATTTTTTGATTGGTTTTAAAGTTTGAAGAGAAAAATAAGTAACAATGTAATAATTTTGATTTGTTGAAAGATTGGAGTGGTTTGTTTGGTTTTGTTGGAATATATGTAAATTTTTACTATTGTTGTGTAATATTTGTAAGATTGAATATTGAGTAATTAAAATAATAGATTTTTTTAAACAAATGAAATATTATTTGTTTGGTGCATAAAAATTTAAGTTTGAAACTTGATGCAATATTAATTAGTATATATAGGTGATTTACCAAATTTAAAAATATAGGCTCATGACTGAAACAGGAGAAAAATAGTTTTGGACCGCCGGAATTATAAGACCCATTATGCATGGTATAGAATTCAGGCCATGTTCCGTTTTTTCTTTTATTTCATTAAATGTTTGCACTGATAAAAATCAAACACGACATTTTTGTTCTTTTTCGGTGGAAAAAAAAAAACCTATGTTCTTGAAAGCTTAATGGTCGATCTAAGAATCGATGATAAAATTGTTCGATTATCAACCTATTACGTCTGCGTTTATCATCTTTCTATCTCAAAATCGGAATTCTTCATAGAGGTAATCTTTTATTTATTCAGATTTCGAAATTTTTTTTATCTAAATTTGTAGATTCGATTTCGATTTTAGAAATTTCCAATTTGAACAGAGATATTGGGCAATAAATTTGAAGAACCCTGACTTACATGAGTTAGGATTACCAATTATAGTCAAAATTTTTGATTTCAATTAATTTTATAAGAAATCGCAAATTAATTTTCAATTTTATTTGTGTTTACCAAGTAAATCAATCTATCTTCTTAGATCTGCAAAGCCATTGAGTTTCTAGTTTTTATAATTTCATAGTGTAAAGATTGTAACAAAATCTTTTGTTTCCTTAAAAGGTTTAACATTTAACTTTTTCTAAATGGATTTCAGATTATTACGAAGATGATGATATTGCCAATAGAAGACGATTTACAAAGATAAGTTCTCTGTTACGATCTATTCTATCACAAAAGATGTTTTAAATATATATGGTACTGAAGTTAGATAATTCAATGTTTACAGACCAAACTCAAATCTTTAAAGAAGGAAAATTTGATGTCGTTTAAAGCCAGTCCAAATTCTGAAATCACTGTTAAAGGTTAGTGATGTGTTAATGATTCAAATTTGGTGTAATCTATTCCCAATATCTAGCTATTGTTAGTTGTGTCTCTTTCTGAATTAGCATGGTTTATGAAATATACACTTATCGTGATGTGTCAATTGTTTTTCTAAAATGATTTTACTATATTCTCTGTTGGATGATAAGATATTAAAGTAATAATACTTGTTTATATGAATTAACAGAATTTTTAGATTCTGTATATGATTTCTTCTTAGTAAACTTGTAATAGTTTACCTATTTGTACTTAATATGATGTAAATGTAAATGAAAACTTTTTTAAAACAAAGTTATGCTGATATTAATAATAGAAGTTTATGAATTTGTGTAAAAAGAGAATTGAGAGAATAACAGACCAAGTTTGGTTAAATAATCTCTTCAATGGAAGTCTTAGATTGAAGAGATTACTACCAAATAGTTTTTAGGAAACTTACTTAAATTTAGGGAATATACTAATAAAACTTTTTATGGAAAACAGAGTAAAATAGAGATTAAGTACAAAAGAAACAAATAGGGTAGGTTTAAGTCGATTACAAAAGGAGTTTTCCATACATCAAAGGAAGTTTTCAAAAAGACAGAGTTCATCTCCTCTAAAAATGTAAAAAGAAACAACATAAACTAAGAGAAATTGAAGTAACCTTGCAAATCCAATCCCTCCTTCCTTGACATGTTAGTTCTCACCAACCATCTCCATCATCACATCCTCTTCGTCACTTGATCCATCGTCGAATGATCGCCTGCAAAAAAACATATTCTTTATGTTTACCTAGGCTGTGAATCTCAACCAAAATATATGTTAATTATAAGAGAATTTTTAACTTACAGATAACTTGGAATGTCAAGTTCATAAAAGATTGGATCAATGTATAGACGTGAACAACCATATTCACTCATTAAAACATTGTTTCCTATAGAAAAAAAAAAGATTCAGTCAATGTAACTAATAAATTGTAAAGTCAGTTCATAAAACTATAATAAGAACCAACCACGATAAGAAGTTATTCTCCAGAAACGCAAGACTGCAACAATCTTATCATAGTTGTAGTTTATTCCGCTTATCTTCTGAGACCAAGTGTTCACAAAGAACTCACACCACTTTCCCACAGCTACACTAATTAATTGAAACACGATCCAGCCCTTTAGTGATAAACTTGAATAACTTTTTGATAGATTGATTTTGGTTGCACCTACTAACATTACCTCATCAATAGAGAGATCATTACGTTGGTCAGTCTGCTGGTCAGAATCTTCAATAGTATCTAGATTGTCAGATTCATTACCCAGCCAAACGGTTGAAACCTTGTAGGTATCATCAGTTTCATTGATGTTTTCCTTTCCAACAGTCACCAGAAACTGGAAAGTCTTTCCAACCAAATCTCTGATTGGCTGAGGCAAGTTTGTAGGATCCTGAATCTGTTATGATAGATTGAAAAAAGTATATAAGATATTTGAATAATATGGTCTATATACATATTAACAACAAATTTGTTTACCTCATCCCAATTCCCTTCCAGCAAATCCTCTGCAGACACACCGATTATCTCTTGTGCACTTTTATCAAAGATAAGACATTTAGTGTCTCCAGTGCTATCCATCACTCCAACGTTTAAAAGATACCTACATATCAAAGGAACAGGAAAGTAGATTATGTACATAGTTATTATCTGACAAATGTAGATATATATTAGCAAATCTCAAAGTCTTACCTTGGTATCACCTTAGGAGTGTCTTCCTTACATGTTGGACACCAAAACATTTCTTTCTTGCCTTTCTTGACAATCTCATTTTCAACCTTTGGAATCTTATAGGCAGTTTTGCTACACTTGAGGCAACTAAAGAAATACCAAGAATAGTCTGTGTCGATATTCATTATGGTACAAATTATGTTGCACTTTCCAGTCTATTCCAAAAAAATAGATAATTAGTAGTATAGACAGAGAATTTAATAGTTGCTAGAAAAAATAATATTATCAAATACAAATACCTCAGAAAAACAAAAGAGTCCAGAGATCGTTTTCCTTGGAAAACGATCATAGTAATCCTTTTTTCTCTGTTCTGCATTCACTTGTTTTGTCTTCGAGTCTTCGATAGTCAGTGGAATAACATCAGGTGGTAAACTATTTTTAACAAATAAAAGAAAACGAAATCAACTTTAGATATTATAAAAAGGATTCACAGTTATCTATATTTGTAAAAGAAATGTGATGTTTAAACATATCTTACTTGGCCACAAACTCAAGAACAGCAGGGTAGGTAGCATTGATTTCCAATAGAGACATATCAAATGAATTTGAAACAGCTCTTTCACCTAAAAACAGCATGATATTAGTATTTTCACATATGTTCTGATTTCATTTCGATTTCAAAATCATGCATTATTCCCAGTAACAACATTCTATACCTTTAAATGAGTTGATCTTTGCAAGCCGAAGCAAGCAAATCACTCTCTCAGTCCCTGCATTTTGACATGCATTATACATTGCCTCAGCAAATCTCCCCCAAAGAGTGCATTTCAGCCTTTCATCACTACAATACAACAAAAATATTGAGAAAGTTTTAAGTTTAGATGTATGTAAGATTATATAGAAAAGGTAGATTCATGATTAAACTTACTTTGTGTCTCTGAGTTCACACTCAAGTCTCTTTGTGATCTTGTTGTTAACATCATGAATTTTCATTTCATTGAAACTAACTACCTGTCCAAGTACATCTGCAAAATAAGAGACTAATAAATTATATTTTCATGAAGAAGTTCCTATTATAATAGAAAAAGAAAATATACAATGGAAAGTAAGATAGATATAGTACCAATTAAGATGTTTTCACTCAATCCTGCTTCATTCAAAATATCTGGAAAGTTTGCCAGATCCACATAAATGTCATCAGAAACAGCAGGAGTGCGACTTATCACAGTTTTTTCCATCATGGACATCTTGAAACCATGTTTTGTGGCTCGATACTTTCCTGTTGATTTGGTTAGCGTAAAATGCTCGATAATACGCCATTCTCCAGAAACTATGAACCTTTGCAGTTTGCTCACTTGTGGCTTCTTAACAGTAGCATGAATCAAAGTACCCTGGCAACAGATAAAAAGAACTCATGTTAATCATCCAGTGATATTGATGATTGATAAATGTCTAATATGTTGAAAAATGATAGTTCTTATACTTACAGCTGTATCAGCAAGAACCATTTCAACTGTTTCCCCGGTGAATTGAGTGTATTGTGTCCACGAATGCACAATCTTAACTTGAATTTTCCAATGTGTTTTGAAGGGCTTAATGTCAGCAAGAGGGGTGAATGCTTGAACAGCTGCCATTTTCTTAGAGAAATATTGAAGTGGTAATGGTAAAGCTTTGAAAGGTGAGTTCTTTCTAATGCAGGTCCCTATATTTATAGTAATCGTATGGAGCCTTTAGTTTTATTAGGTTTTAGAGAATATAGGCCGTATAATATAATTTGGGATTAGGATCTTAAAGGTATATGCTTGATTTAGGGAGATTTATTTGCATATAATTTCCGATTTACTTGTTTGGTATATCAATATCGAACTGAATATGGATATTGAAGAGTTTGTGTGATTTTTAATATCAACTAATAATGGAAATACAATTAGTTAGAATTCTATATCTTTCAATATAAAGAAATACAAATAATTGAGTTTTGCATTTAAAGAGATATTTTTAAATTGGCATTGATAGTTTGTATTGATATGGAAAGATCTTTGCGAGATTTGTGTCTAATTATTAGTCAAGTTAATTTAGAGAGTAGTATAATTATCTAATAAGTTACAATACTGTATCTTTCAATATATTATAGGGAGATATGGATTAATTAGTTTTGCATTTAATTCACCGTCTACACTTTATATTTTTACATTGGCATTAATAGTTTGAGTTGATATGGTAAGATTTTTGCGAGATTTGAGTGCAATTATTCAAAAAATTAATTGCAAACTTATTACTGATTTAGAATAAGTAAAGAATATGCTTGAGTTGTTATTATATGGAATAGAAATAAATTAGTTTTATTTTAGGAAGTTTAAATTTAGAGATTTGTTTGTTAAGGCAATCTATAGATTAGTATAATTGTTCCGAATAAATAGTTATGGTAATGCTTGAATTGTATTGCTAATTTTTTTCTTCCGTATTAATGACTGCAGATTCAATACATTAAAGCATTGGTTTCGGTATGGGCCTAATAAAAGTCGTAAGCCCAACAGGAAGCTTCATCTGTTCGGGTCTGTGATTTTTAAGAAAGAGGATCCGATTGCTTGATCCGGGATCCGCGTCCCAAAAGCGAGAATTTTACAATTTTACCCCTCCACGCAAATTTTTATTTTGTCTTTAAAACTTTAATTGTAATGGCATTCTCTTGTAATTATTTACAGATTGTAAGGTTATTTTTCAGGTAATCCTTCCCAATTAATAGTATAGATATATATATATATTTATATGTCTAAGAATTTCTTTATATACTCATAAAAAAAAAAAAACTCATAATTGCAACGTGTTGTTTGAATTTTTGTATTTGCAAAAACGTTCTGTAACGGAGAAGGTGGGAGAGGAATGAGTGACCGTCGTCGATAAACATTCCCAATTTTTATTCCATCTTTTTTAATATTTTTAAAAACAGAGCCGAATCTTTGAACCAAAAGAAAACAGAGTCGAATATGAAAAAAAGTGTCCACTTTCTCAAGTCCAAAACAGACCATTTTGCAATTAATACTTGGCATATAAATACTAGAGACGGTCACATTTTGGTCAACATAATAATACTATTCATTAGCAAGAAAATTAAGAGAACAAAACAAAAAGAAAAAACTCTAATCTCTCTCTCTCTCTGTTTCTCTGTCTTCTTCTCCGATCCGTAAATCTTCCTGGTGCGTTAGGGACAGAGATGGGAAACGGAAACTCAAGGGAGGAGGCTAAAGAATCGAGACGGTCAAAGCTACGACAGAAGCTACAAAAGTTTCGCATTCACCGTCGTCATCTTCGTTGTTCTCGAAACTCGTCGGCAGGAATGGTCATACAAAGAGCTGTGTCCGCCGAGGATTTCTCCGGCATTGCGCTTCTCACTCTCATTGGCGTACGTCTTACGGTTCTTCTTTTTTTTTTTTTGCTTTTTTTACGTTTCGATTCTTAGTGATGTTTTAGTCTTGTTTCTGGCTTTATTTTTTTCTTCAGGCGGATATGAAGTTTAAAGACAAGTGGCTCGCTTGTGTTTCTTTCGGTGAACAGACTTTTAGAACTGAAATCTCTGATACGTGAGTCTCTCATATATTCGTAGGTTACTCGTACAGTTCAAGGATTATTGATAACAATTTTGTTTCTAATGAATTTGCAGTACAGAGAAGCCAATTTGGAACTCGGTAAGTTGATCAAGACCTTGTCTTTTGAATACTTTGGTTCTGTTTCTACGCTTCTGCTAATTAGTAATTACAGTAATTAGTGTTTCTCTGTATATAGGAAAAGAAGCTTTTGTTGGAGAAAAATGGACCAAGTCTTGCTAGGGTCTCTGTATTTGAGGTTTCTATTATCCATATTTTTGAGTTTAGTCCTGAATCATGACATTGTTTTTTGGATTAATAGTCAGCTTAAAGGATCATCCTTTTATTTGTCCAGACAAATAGGCTCTCAAGGAACAAAATCATCGGTTATTGTGAGCTTGATATATTCGATTTTGCAGTGCAGGTCAGTTGTTCAAAATTTGTATATGTTTATATAGATTCCTGTTTTAATGTAAGATTATTGCAAAATTATTCTCTCTGCTTATATGCTTTCTTCGGCGTGATACAGGAACCTGAGTCGGCGTGTAAGTCATTTGACTTGTTAGATCCCACATCATCCAATGTTGTTGGCACCATTTTCCTTTCTTGCGCTATTGAGGTACACACGAGGATAAACTCTGAGAAAATAAAGGAGCAATGGTGTCTGATCTTTGGTTAATATTTGTAGGATCCTGTTGAAACCGAGAGGCGGTTTGCAAAGCGTATCTTGTCCATAGTGGTATGCTTTACTTTACCTTAAATCTTCCTCACTTCAATGTTTCTTTCTTCTCTTGAACAAAATTTTGTAGAATATTAGAATGATAGTTAAAGTTCTTTGACAAAGTGCAGGACTACAATGAAGATGGACAACTGTCGTTTTCGGAGTTCTCTGATCTAATAAAGGCTTTTGGAAATTTAGTGGCTGCTAACAAGGTTCGGCTTTAAGCATCTATGTCACACATGTCATTAGTGGATGCATAAGTTTTCCTCTCATTTTCAATCAATTTAAAATGTGAAACTTGATGTTTTCACTAACTAGATTGAGATGCTAGATTGCTGCATTTCTGCTGAATGTGGACTTGATGTTTTTCACTGACTTAATGACCAGAAAGAAGAGTTGTTCAAAGCTGCTGACCTGAATGGGGACGGTGTTGTGACGATTGACGAGTTGGCTGTGCTTCTTGCTCTTCAACAAGAACAGTAATGACCCTTGATTCACTTCATTTTTTCTAATATTCTCCATTCTTATTACTTTCAGCACAAGTCTATTTAGGCCTCCTAGAATCCTATAGTAATTTGAATTATCCAATGCAGGGAGCCAATAATAAATAATTGTCCGGTGTGTGGTGAGGCTCTTCAGCTCTCTGACAAGCTCAACGCGATGATTCATATGACTCTTTGTTTTGACGAAGGAACGGGTAATCAAGTGATGACCGGAGGGTTTTTGACTGATAGACAAGCTTCTTATGGGTGAGAAACCTCTTCTTTAAGCGAAGTAACTAGACATCTCTTACGTAACATCATATTTTCAACTTTTTGATCAGATGGATGTTCAAACTAAGTGAATGGACACACTTATCAACTTATGACGTTGGTTTGAATACTGGTTCAAGTGCCTCATATATTGTGGTATTCTTTTCTTTTTGCTCTCTTTAGTTCGTCTCTTGATTTCTTTTTGTTTCTTATGTGCATCTCCTCATGGAGAACAAATGTATTCACTTAACTAGTTTCTTGGTGTTTTGCTTCTTGCTATAGGTAATTGACCGGAAGAGTAAGAGACTCGTGGAAGAGTTGATAGACTCAAAGATTGTTCTCTCCATGAGAGCTATTTATCAGTCAAAAATTGGACTTCGACTTATGGATCAAGGTAAACTATTTAGGATACTTCTCAAATGCACATGACCCATTCATGTCCTCGCCTTGACGCTACTCTAACAAAACAACACAATTTTGTATGTTTGATTGATCTTCTTGATCCAGGGGCAAAGGAGATTCTGCAGAGACTTTCTGAGAAGCAGGGGAAGAAAATGAGCTCTGTTGAATCCGCACAAAAAATACCACGCTTTCTCGAGTTCTTTAAGGCATGGAAAGTTACTATTTATTAAGCTATAATGTGTTGCTTTGTTTTTTGGTTTGGAGTTGAGATTTTTTGTCTGTTTCAGGATCAAATAAACATGGCTGAAGTCAAGTATCCTCTGCAGCATTTTAAGGTATGCATGGGATCTGATTTATAGCCTCAACACTCCTAAATCTAAATGTGTATAGTTCTTAGACTCACAGTATTAGCAAGTGACTAAAAGGAAGGATGATTTTTTACTTGCAGACGTTCAATGAGTTCTTCATCCGGGAGTTGAAACCTGGTGCAAGACCAATTGCTTGCATGAAAGGCGATGATGTTGCCGTATGTGCTGCTGATTGTCGATTAATGGCATTTCAGTCGGTGGAGGATAGTACCCGTTTCTGGATCAAGGTAAAATGGTATCTAGGGTAGCTTACTATATACTTATCATTATTATGCAAGAGTAGAGAACTCTCAAAACAAATAATGTAGCTGATAAGTTGCAACACATCTTAATGTTTTTGTATTCATAGGGCAAAAAGTTTTCAATAAGAGGCCTTCTTGGGAAGAGTACTGTGAATACAAATGCCTTCCTTGATGGATCTTTGGTGATATTCCGACTAGCACCACAGGTACGACGAGACTGGATAAGAAATACGATTCATAGGATAAAACACCACATATATAGTTCTTTTTTTGTTCCCTGTTACACTGACACATTTCTTGAATATTTGAATATTACAGGATTATCATCGGTTTCATGTCCCTGTCTCTGGAGTCATTGAAAAGTTTGTGGATCTTTCTGGAAGCTTATATACAGTATGTGTCTGCCTTTACTTAGTCCAAGATTTCCTCTCATCTCCATCATGTTTTCTTATGAGACTCACATAATTGTTTCCTTGTTGAACTACCTTGTAGGTTAATCCGATTGCGGTCAATAGCAAGTACTGTAATGTATTCACGGAAAATAAACGAACCGTTGCAATTATATCAACAGCAGAATTTGGAAAGGTTAGATTCTGAAACCAGTTTACAAATGGATCAGAAATAATGATAATATGTAGAGTATAAATTCAAGGTCAGCTAATAAGTATGTAACAGGTTGCTTTTGTTGCAATCGGTGCGACAATGGTTGGTAGCATAAATTTTGAGAGAAAGGAAGGAGAACATGTGAAGAAAGGGGATGAAGTAAGCAGTTTCGACTATTCTCAAGAAACACTTGAAGAACATTTGTTCTAACTTCATTTTATCTTGCAGCTTGGTTATTTTTCATTTGGTGGAAGCACAGTTATATGTGTCTTTGAAAAGGTTAGCGACTTAATTGTATATAAATCTGAATTGACTTTTCTTTTTTCACTTAACACATTTTTGCAGGACTCGATCCGGATCGATGAGGATCTCTTGGTTAACAGTGGTAGGTCCTTAGAGACATTAGTGAGTGTTGGAATGCAATTAGGTGTCTCCACAAGGACATTTGCTAGGTCTACATTGACCTAAAAATCAGAGACCATTTGGTTTGATTTGATTTTCCTCTTGTTTCATGCATAATAACTCTGTATATAACCAAATGAAATCTCCTCGGTATTATTTATACAATGAATGAGCTAAATAAACACACATTCCTTGCCAGAGCGTTCTCTTTTTGCCATTTCATTCCATCAAGCCTTGTGAAATAACACTCGATTATCCTGTGAAATCTGAAGCAATCGACGAGATTTCTCTTTCACCAAATCGGCTTTTAGGGTTCACCAATCTCTTAATGATGAAGCAAGCCTGGCCCCGCAGGCAAGGACAAAAGACAACGAACCAGCACATGTGTGCTGAATTCATTCGCACTTTCCTATTTGCTTCCACCAATTATCGAGCTGTGCCTCCGAACTTTTGTTTCGTCCAGCGACTTAAGTTTCTTTTATTTGGGTACTGTATGTATGTATTATTCCTCTTTGCTTCCATTACTAGTTTCATTAAATAAAAAATTTCGAGATCGATTTTACAAGAAGATGGGCCACCGTCAGAAACCAGGACAAAATAAATATTCCACAAAAGCCCATATATAAAAAGATTAAGTTGGCCCACACGTACATACATATAAACATTTTCAAAAATTCTTATGATAAATAACCGAGTCTAGGTTTGCCGGCCTCCATCGAAATCTTAGCAGGAGCCGCTCTTCCCTTGTCATCTTATCTTCTCCATGGGCAAGAGGCTTTTGAAATGCTCCACATCCACCGATGTAATCCTTTTCTCCTTATGACCTTCTTCCTTACTCAGTCTTTAATTAACCAATTTTGATTTCTTCTCAATTATTTGACTGAACTTTATTCTTGTTTCGGATTTTTTTTCTTGGTTTCGTTTTATGCATTTTATAATTGAAGAAAACTGGTATATATTGTCTTACAATCTCGATTATATGAATGATAAGTCTGATTATAGGTTGTTTGATATTTGTATATATGTCTTATTTAGAAGAACACCTGCTTATATGGATTTATTTTTATTTCTAAGAGAGCTCCAGATGATTTGGAGCAGCAAGTAATTCTGAAGAAGCAAAAAAAGGTAATATTACCTTAAGCTTCTGTACTTTTTTTTTTTTTTTATCAACTCGGTAGTATTTTCTTATAAAACCTACTATTGAAAATGTCTTGTTTTGATCCAAAATAAAAACAGGTGGAAGAATATAAATGTATATTCGAAGATGAAGATGCACATGTTTACGATCCCAGAACCATTCTCGTTCAGGGATTGGATTGTACCCTTCCTGTGGCTGATATCAGGAGCGCATTGAGAAAACACTTCGGTTCATGTGGACTTATCACAAGGGTTTTTGTTCCGACAGAGTGTAAAACCGGTTCTCTCCTCGGGTTTGTGACTTGTTCCTCCAATTTAATTTGACAACTTGAAGTTAAATGCAATCGAAAAATTTTACTTTTTGTTTTTGTTTTTGTTTTCAGGTGCGCTCTCATTAATTACTTTCATCCAAATGATGAAAAGAAGGCATTAGCACTCGATGGTAGTTTCTTGGGAGGTATGCAGCTTGAGGTTTTGTTGGAGGGTAACAGCAGCGGTTCTAGTATCTTTCCTAACTTTAAAAGGTGTGAACGTTGTGTCTTTCTTCAAAGGAAGCGCTTCCATGACCTTTACATTACAACTAATGGAGGTCTTAGGATGAACAAGTACGTTAATTTGTTCTTGCTTATTGAATCCTAGTTAAGAAGGTAACTTGTCATTTATTTGTTGCTTTCTTTTTGCCCTGATATTGCAGTTTAGCTGTTTGGAAAAAACATAAAGCTAAAAAAGTTGAAGAAGAAAAACGGAGCTAAGAATGGTCGTTTTGATTGTTGTTTATCTACAAGCTACTACTTGTTTATCTTTTTTTTGTTATGTTTTATAAGAACACTTGTATTGTGTACTCTTGCTGCTATTCAGTTTCATAATTTATGCCTAAATCAAATGTTGAACTTATATTATGTTGAACTTATATTATACTAAATGTTGAGAAAAAAAAAAATCAAATGTTGAACTTATATTATGAAATTACATTTTTAAGTTGAAAATTCAATTACTTATAATCGACTTAATAAGAACTTTGACCTAATTTGGCTAATTGGGCGGTTATGATCTATAGTTGTTTGGTAGGTAAGGACATGAATTGTTATGTCTTCTATCCTATGTAGGAAAAGAATACTTTTTGTATCTTCCCAAGTTCTCCATTGATTTCTTTTTGCCAAGAATTGTTGCGCTTCTCCCTCGAGTCAACAAATGTAAACCATGTTGTTTTTTCTCTTCTTACATTGGTCGCACTTGTTCGTTAATCACACGTGTTTGTCACTGTTCCGACATTCGAACCGTTGATCATCTTTGTCTTCCAGGCCCAACTAACGACCCATTAACAGAATATATCTGAAACCGTTCAGTGATTGAGAGTTTTCCCTTATCTCCGGCGACATTGCATCACCGTAACTTATGACTTGTTGAAGTGGGAGACTGATTTTTAGAAGGCTCTTGAGGAACCTGAGCTCTATCAGCGAATTCGTGAGACTAATATCAGGTACACTGCCATTTCCTTTCTCACTCAGCTTCTCAAAGAACAGTGGGCATTACTTGGGAGCTCCTCTCTTGAATCAGTAGCTCAACGAAGGTTTCTTTAGCGCAAGGCTGTGAACGTTGAGGGTGATGTTGTTGACAACATAGGGGATCAAAGTGCTGTTGATGAAAGCACAAGGCGTTTGGAGAGTGATACTATTGATATCGTCAACGAGCCGTGTGGTGAAAGGGAGGACGGTAATGGGATTAACAGAGAGAACGCTAATGATGGTGATGGAATGGACTGTCTCGAGAATGATGGGATTGATAATGTGAATGCAGCAGAGGAGGAGCACACAATGAGTGCACAAGAACTGGAACATGAGCCAAGTCTTGATAAAGGAGACAAAATGGTTGCTCGAGAGCTGAAGTATTATTTGTTAGAGAGCTGAAGTATTCTCTTGTGACAAGATTACTGTGTTTTTGCGTTGTATGACCCTGTCCCGTTTTGTGCAGATACAAAAATAAGTACTTGCGGATAGATATCTGAGCAATCAAGTCATGGTCTCGGCAGATCTTGGAAGGGCTTGTTTATATCACGGGCATGACCCTCCTGTTATCCATAGAGACCTCAAGTGTGATAATAATATCTTTGTTAATGGGCATCTTGGACAAGTTAAAATTGGCGATCTTGGCCTTGCGAGGATGCTGCGGGACTGCGACTCGGCCCATAGCGTCATCGGTATGTTACAAAAATCGTTTGTTTTCACTTCTTGTCCAAATCGTATCCTTAGACCTCTTTGTGTTTATTTTGCATAGGCACTCCTGAGTTCATGGCACCAGAATTATATGAGGAGAACTATAATGAACTCATTGACGTATACTCCTTTGGTATGTGCTTTTTGGAGATGATCACCTCTGAGTTCCCGTATAGTGAGTGCAACAATCCGGCACAGATTTACAAGGAAGTTGTCGCGGTAAGTCTGTCGATCTGTGAGCATATAAATGCAGCTATCAGTTGAACTAGGAATGAGCCTTCTAATGTTTTCTTTCCAGGGAAAGCTACTAGGAGCCTTTTACAGAGTTGGAGACATCGAGGCACAGAGGTTCATCGGGAAACGCCTTGTGTTTGCCTCAAAGAGAGTATCAGCAAAAGAAGTATTGCAAGATCCATTTCTTACCTCTGAATAGTCCTGGATGGTATACGCGAGCGGTGCTGGGAATCCAAAGCACTTCTTGAACGAGAATGAAATGGCCACACTGAAGTTGGAAGATGATGAGTTAGGAAGGACCCAGACGACCATCACTGGGAAGCTGAACGCTGAAGATAACACAATCTATTTGAGAGTACAAATCGCAGATGAAAATGGTAAAAAGTGAAAAAACGAATGTGTGCTAGATCTATAGATTTGTATGTTTCGCAAGTGTAACGAGTACGTATGTGCATAAAGTAAACGAGACACAAGAGATTTGTTAACGGGGTTCGGTTAACCTACATCCCCGGGACCAAGTCCAGAAACCATTCACTAGAAAAGGCCGCAACCTACAATTGCTATATGGTATCCACCACTCTTTTCTAGAATTACAATGAAAGAAAAACTACTACTCCTATTGTCTTTTCCGACGAGTATAGCTTCTCAACAAAACCATCAAAAGATCTCTCTACCTTGTTGATGGGGCAACGTCACACACACATGTGTGCCTCTCTCGATAAACCCTAGACGCGCAAGTCTTCATGTTGCCGTCTCTTGGTATTTATAATCAAGGGCCAAAAACCCTAGACGACTCAAGCCACGCTTGAAGTCTCTACAAGACAATTGGGCTTAACTTGAACAATGGCCCACATGGCCTTTTTGGCTTTCACGTTAGAAAGACTTAATCTTGATCTCATCTGTTGTTCCAACAGCTTCAATACTGTTCTAACAATATCTGCACTTACAATCTCTCCCTTTTTAACTGAGTTTTACAACTCAAGCTCACCATGTCAAGAACACATACTCATCAATAATGCTTATATAAAAGCTCTCCCTTTATCATATATCATCGTGCTAATATTCTCTTCACGGAACTTTCGCAATCTCCCCCTGCTTGAGTGATAAAAACACTGTTAAAACACTTAGTGCAGAATGAGCTTAATCATACCTGTTAGAGGATACTCCACAATCAGAATTGTCTTCCCCTTTGAGCTCTACAATGATTTTCATCCTGACTTTTGAATTTATTTCTCCCAAACCTTCTTATTGCACAATAACCTCCAAATCAAGAAAATCCGCGTCTGACATAGAGAGATCAATCTTTCCTCTCTAACTTGTTAGTTCCATCCATAATGCTTAGTCTTATCATCAGCATGAGCAGTAATCATCATAATCAAACATCAAATTCAAAGTGAAAGCCAAAGCTCCTCTTTACTTTTATTATCTGCACCTTTCTCTTCAACTGCAAATTTCTCCTCTGCTTAATTGACACCCAATCAAGGCGTTACATCTTCGTCACGAGATGGGCCAAAAAGATAATCCCACGAAGATATCCATTCTCCAACCAAACATGCATTGGTTTAAAATAAACAAACCAAGCTCCAAGAATCAAAAATCGTTCATATGAGCAGCTACACGGCAGATAACACTCTCCCTACACCATTGCATCAGATTCTCCCCCTCACTTTCAACTGCCTTGTCTTCTCACCTGAGTTTTACATCTCACTCATACATAACCAGTATCTCCCCCTGATTGAGTTGATAAAACTCTGTAAAGCACTTGCTTTTCTACACTTGATTCTGTGCACAAAGCTTCTTTTCGGAATACATAGAGTTGGTTAGAAGAATCCATCTTGAAAACCAACAACTTAGATATTTCCAGCTAACACATAAGCTCATGTCATAAGTCAAACTTAGCTGCTTCATTTCATTTTCATTGAAACTTCTCTGCGTCTATCTGAACGAAGATAAATTTCTTTAGACCTTGATCACAACCCTTGAATTACCAGCAAATTTGCCATGATCCAACAGTTCCTTAGCAGCAAACTTTGCTCCCCCAACAAGCTTCACTCTCTCTTATTCCAATACTTCTGCAAACTGAAACTCAAACTTTCACATACATTGCAACAACCACATGTCTCCTGGACAGTCACTTTTTGAAAATGAGTCTAGAACCAGGTCTGAACTCAGAACACTTATGTGAAACTTCCATAAAATTCTTTCTCAGCGCAGCGGAAAAATACGAGAAGCCTTCAAAAATATGCATACTCGTGTAGAAGAGAAAGACGAATGATGCTGAATTCATGACCATTAATCAAGCAGAAATTGATACCTCTTTTTGGTAGCTTTCCTTTTAGCTATCTCACACCAGCTGATCCAGTGACGTTCTTGAGACTATTGATTTAACAACTTTCCTTGATGTCATACGTGCTGCCTGCATCACACTTTTCGTTAAATCCCATCAGAATCCCAATTTACAACCAATCATTGCCCTCTGGCAGTCTTTACGTGAGTAACATTCTCTTTATCCTTGTGAAAAGATCTCATCCATTCTCATGCAGTGAATCCAAAAACTTGTCCTTGTCGCCAGCCATATAACCTCAACCAATCCTTGATTGACAACTGATCTGATATTGTATCTCACTTACTGTTTCAACAAAACACACGCTTTCCAGTCTTGTTTCATTTTACTTGAATCAAAGCAAACCATCCTTTGAAACATGCATATCAATTATCTCGACCTGAAACAGAATTCTGCTTGTTTCTTCATCCTTCTGCAAACAACTTTTCTTTTCATCAAACAAGCCTCTGTTCTAACACAAAAGAGCACAGAGTATGCAGATGCATCAAACTCAGACAATGAAGCCATATTATCACTTTGATGATGAAAGCCTAACTCCGTCAGTCACGTGATTCTTTTAAACCAAATGAACGCTTCATAAATTTTAGGATCTGTCACTTATAATGGAAAGATTCTCTTCCTTGACACTTCATAAGCTTCATTCCAAAAATCTTCAACTTGAAAAAAAGAAAACTGCAGATCCCTGAAACCTTTTTGTTATATTTTCATATTCACCAACAGTTCTTCTCTAGAATCCTAGAGCCTTAACAAAAAGTAGACTCCCAGCAAGTTGTCCATAATTATAAAATAAACAGAAGCTGAAGACTTCCCAAGAGTAAACTGCCGAACAAGGACTTACAGTAACTTGTTAATTCACTTCTTGGGTACAGTAATCTGAAACAATCTCTGCTAGAATCATATGCAAGTCACCTTTGCAAGACACAGCTTTAGAAGTCTCCGAATTAACTACTCTGAACAGCCATCATTCTACTCTGTTCCCGGACTCCGCATCCAATGCCCTCCTACCATAAACTAGCTCCGTAAGTCTAGAATATCTCTGCAAAAATTCATTTCATTCCGAGTTTGTTTGATCACCCATTTGATGTCTCCACTATAACTGGTCAGATCTGAAACTTTAGCTGACATGTGCCCAGAACAGATTGAACACGCTCGAATAAAACGCAATCCAACTGTCAAAAAATTAATTCCACCGTTGACACTCAAGACAGTAATAGCAAGAAGCTTGCTACCAAGTTTCAGCTCGATCAGATTACTTTTAGGACTCCAATTGTTGTCTCGAAGATCCCATCTCGTAACTGATTTCTGCAATTTTTCAACCCCGTAAAAAAATACTCTTCCCTCCTTTGATGTTGTAATTTAGATCTTCTTCGCTTTCACTCTTCCATGCTAATGTTAAACAAGCTACAACCTCTGAAACAATTTTAATATCCACAAGTATCAGGTTCTTTCCACTGAGACAAAATCTACACTTTAGTCTTGTAATTTGTAGCGAAAAATTTGACTTCAAAACTACCAATTTTGAGTCTCCAAAATTAGTTGATTCTGATACTCGTATCCCTGACTTAATGATCTTAACTCATGCCTTTATGAACTTGATTCAATCATAAGGCTAGCTAAAACATCAACGAACTTGAAGATCCATATTACCACCAACTTAGCACAATACACAAGCTCCAAAGACAAAAGATAGAAGAACTCAAACCCAACTTAACCTGGGAAGATAATTGCACAAACCCTTTGAACAAACTGAGCTTCACAAAAAAAAAACTCAGCTTGAAAGCAGCCTTAAATTCTGACTCTGTAGATTCTTCTTCAAAACCTTTTCTCCCTAAAACCTTTGGAGCAGCACAAGTCGAAGAACACTACACGTTTAAAAAGGCCCATCTCAATGGAACTCCATAAACACAGTTAATCATTCCGCACACTTCAACGATGTATCGAGACTTTTCCAGTACAAAGACTCTTGACTGAAGCATCTGCATCTGTCTTGATGCAGAGAACAAACGGAGCAGCAAACCAACCCAGAAAATTTAAAAATTTGGTGGGAATATCAACAACAGTCATATGAAGCCACAGGAAAAAACAGATCAAGATTTGAGGTTACGGTTTAAGGGATATGGCAAATTTCCCAAGACAGATCCAAAATGCTATAAACCTGCGAGCATGCAACTTTGGGAGCAATTTCCCATCAAACCACGAGGAACCAGACGACGATATTTATTTCCTTTGAAAAATCTCACTCTCAAGATTTCAGAGCATCCTTCAGAGCTAAAATCCAAGGTCTGTAGCCGAAGAAATGTAGGAAAACACCATGAGACGAAAAACTGTCTTTGAAACCTGAAACCTTCTTTATCATTCGTCCTCTGAGTTACTTTTCTCGACTTAGAGTTGCATCAAACTTCTTCTGCATCATTCTTTGATTGCTTTACAACTACCAGCGCATCGATGTATTTTTTTTTATTTTTTTTTATTTTTTCGCTTTGAACAAACACAAGAACATTAACAAGCTCTTGGAACACGTTCTTGGAACACTCTTCTCCCCCTTGTTGATTATGTGCTTCAATCAGCACAATCAACATAACTCCAAGAGTGCTTACCAAATAAACCAAAGCCTTCAAGCTCTTATATAAGCATAATCAAATGGTCGAAGCTCATGTTATGTCCCCTACATCTTCAAATCAGGAAAAGAACAACCAGAATGATACTCATATGCACATATGCCTTTAAAACATCATCAAGGGAAAATTCTGCTTCAAGATTCCAGCAAGATCAAAAATCAACTTGGACAACATCTCTCACAGGCATTTAGTCGAGCACATGGTGAGCAAGACTCAAACTTCCTCCCCATTTTGCATAAAAGACTAGCAGAAGTTATTTTTCAAAAAACAGAAAAACCAAATCTATGAATATTGGTTCCATCTCTCAGACCATCACTGTGACTTTCATCTTGTCAACCGTTTCACCTTCACGCTTTGACACAGTCATCGTTGCTTCTCAACTTTTACGTCACACGACTCTGTTGGCATTATGAGCACGACTTCATCTTTAACCTGACAAGAAAATTTACAACTGAGCTTGCTTTTTCCTTGTCGATATCAACTCAACACACAATTCCCTCATAAAGACGTGAATCCAATTTTTGATTCTTTTTGACCGAACCATGATCTCTTGGTACACAATTAAAGACCATATTCCATAGGCTCCATTTTGATTCACCTTTAATTCACCAATAATTCCAATAATTCTTCTATGAAGTTCTTTGCTCTTGGTTTCAATGTTCCTCTCCCCCTTGTTGATTGTGTGTCTCAATAAAGTAATAAGCTTTCAAGTAAGAAGGCACGCATTCAACACAAATTGTTAGAACCGAATCAAAAACCCAAGATACACCAAATCAACGATAACCTCAAAGTTAGTTCCGGAACGCAACGATTCTCAAGCAGCTCAAAACATCAAAGAAACTCAAAAACCTGAAACTCAAAATCAGAACTGTGCAGAGAAAAACCATGATGCAAGAGTAATTGCCACAACATGCCACACAAGCTTGAGAAACCAATTTCTCTAATCTTCATCTTGCTCTGGTTGATATTAATTTCCGGATTTGTCAACTTTCTCTACAACCAATCATACTGCTTTTAAAACTCGGATGCTAGACCTTTCTCCCAGTAGACTTCTTCACTGAAAATCTCTTCTATATGATTTCAAAAACACTGAAATTACTTCATCTTTTATTCATCAATGAGCTTCGTCCTTTAACTTCTCCAATTCTCTCTTTTTTTTTTTTTTTTTTTTTTGAATCACAATTGGACATAATAACCAAGAGGAAGACAGAATTCATCTCTCTTATCTACAAGGCGAAAACCCAACAGAGAAGAGGACTCACACCAAAGGATACTTTCAATCACAATCTCAATCCCAACGAAGCAGAGATTCTCAAACTCACCCTCTGATTTTTCTTATCAGGTTGAATCAATCACACAGTCAAGAGCCTGAATTTTGATTCCACTCCATTGAATCGATATACTCTTGGTCCACATGTCTCCATTGGCATTTCAAAATTTTTATCCTCGATGTTAAACAACTCCACTTCACATCAATGACCTTTGATTTTGATTTCTTAGACAAATCTGACAACAAAGCTCTAACTTCTGTTATTTTCGACAAGAACAGAGACAAGTGAGCTCCTCCCTTTCCTATTACGACTCCCAAACGGTGACCAGAACTGATTGCTTTCACCTCCAATTTCATCACTTTCTTCATCCAACGTTTCCAGTACACTCGCGATGTAATTGTGAAGCTTTTCTCTCAGTACCCAACTGTTATATTAACGAGGATACCCGGACCCAACGCAACTGAGAAGACAAGCTCGCGAAGTTGATCCAAGAATCCTTCGACTTTGACGAATTTGCACGCCTCAGTGAACTTCTTCAACTAAACGCTTTACCTTTGGATAATGACTCTTTTTGTCTTTAGTGGGCTTCTTGAAGCATGAGACTTTATACGATCTCTTCTCATATAAGAGTGATACCTTCTATGTTGGGCTCAGATAACTTCCACAACATAAAGCCCAAATGATTAATCAAACCCATGTGCAATTAACAGAAACCCAAATTGATACAAGATCATAGGTCAACTGTTCCTTCGTCTTTTTTCTCCGACACACAATCATATGCAATCCAGATTCCGATTAACAGACTGCGATTTTCGACAACGTCAGCTTTCTCTAGAAAGCACCGAAGTACACAAACCCACTATTCATCTTTGCTTTGACTTTTCTTACGTCAACAATAAATCTTCTTTCTTCAAAACTTCAGATTTTCTCACCTAGCCACACATCCAGGACCATACCCGAAACGAGAACGGATCTCTGTCGAGAACCCGCTCTGATACCAATTGAAAAAACGAATGTGTGCTAGATCTATAGATTTGTATGTTTCGCAAGTGTAACGAGTACGTATGTGCATAAAGTAAACGAGACACAAGAGATTTGTTAACGGGGTTCGGTTAACCTACATCCCCGGGACCAAGTCCAGAAACCATTCACTAGAAAAGGCCGCAACCTACAATTGCTATATGGTATCCACCACTCTTTTCTAGAATTACAATGAAAGAAAAACTACTACTCCTATTGTCTTTTCCGACGAGTATAGCTTCTCAACAAAACCATCAAAAGATCTCTCTACCTTGTTGATGGGGCAACGTCACACACACATGTGTGCCTCTCTCGATAAACCCTAGACGCGCAAGTCTTCATGTTGCCGTCTCTTGGTATTTATAATCAAGGGCCAAAAACCCTAGACGACTCAAGCCACGCTTGAAGTCTCTACAAGACAATTGGGCTTAACTTGAACAATGGCCCACATGGCCTTTTTGGCTTTCACGTTAGAAAGACTTAATCTTGATCTCATCTGTTGTTCCAACAGCTTCAATACTGTTCTAACAATATCTGCACTTACAAAAAGGACTGATTTAGTTAAGCTGATCATTTTGTTATTCGGTCACATAATTGTTTCTTATGTCCCAGGTATGGCAAATAACGTGTTCTTTCCCTTTGACATCATGAATGATACTTCCATTGATGTTGCAAAGGAGACGGTAATAGAACTCGAGATCACAGATTGGGAACTAGTTGAGATTGCTAGAATGATTGATGGAGAGATCTCTTCTTTGCTGTCTGGTTGGAGGTATGAGGAAGATGATGAAAGCCCTAATGATCATCATCATCATCATCATCATCATCATCATCATCGTAGCTAGAAAGAAATTTTGTAGACTTTTGACTTTTGAGCGACATTTTCATGTATTGATAAAAACAAATTTGCGTATTATACCACGTTCGAGGTATTGTTATGTGTTTGTTATCTTTGTGTTGCAGATCTCACACAAAATTCTAAGAGAGAACGTACTGAAAAAAATCCATGATTAAGTAGAATAAGTAGTACTTGTTGGTGGGATTACAAGAAGAACGAAATACGGGAGTATTCACTTTATGAAATGTTGGGGTTATTTTGAGATTAAAGAAAACTATGGGGATCTTGGGGTTATTTATAGAAATATAACATCGAGCTACAAGACCACTTTAATGCGCAAAAACCCTAAACATTTGCTACATTCTCCTCAGAGCAAAAAGACGACGCTCGTCTCTTCAGAGAATTTCACCTTCTAGGGTTTGTTCAAGGTACACGCCGTTACTATCTCTCTTCAATTTCCGATATAGATTAGATAGACTTGTCTCTCCGCGAGAAGAAACTAGTTTTTAGTTCCATTTCCTCTTGGTTTAGCTTCATCTTTTCGTCCTTTTGGAGTGTAATTGACCATGTTAGATAGAAATTCGAATCTAAGAAGCCTCGATTCTCATCTGCGATACAGATCTCACTTCACTTCCCATTTTCCAGGTTTTGAGTTAGTCATAGTAGCTTGAAAATGGCAAATAATGTATATGTAGGAAGTTTCTTTGTCTGTATCATAGTAGCTAGAAACTGGCGTATAATGTATATGTAGGAAGTTTCTTTGTCTGTATCTAAACGCCATGTATGTATCATTAAATTCTTCATATTCATCTTCTTATTTCTTCAAGGTACACTGAAGAAGACACTAAACCTAATGGAGAACGAGGAATCAGTATTTGATGCTTGGTCCTCAAGCAGCGAGGAGTTCGAACATGAAGCTCTTCTTGAACCAACTAAACTTGCAGCTGTAAAATTGGACGCTGACATTTCTGAGACTGAAATGTAAGTATATCGTTTGTGTATACAGTTCTGTAATGATGGCTCTTACTAATGATGGCTCTTACTAATGATGGCTCTTATTAATGATGGCTCTTACTAATGATGGCTCTTACTAATGATGGCTCTTGCAGCAAAAGCTTTTTCTCAAACATTGCTGAACCTGGGGTGGACATCTACGAAACGAGAGATGAAAATGACTGTGTAGTTGGTTCGGTTGCTGTCATGACGTTTTCGTCACTTGAACAAACGCAAGCGGTAATTGCTTGTTTATGTTCTGTCCTAATGGTTTTATTGTTATTTAGTTGCTTTACATTTCTGTCTTAATGCTGGCGATGAAATTAAAAGGCGAAAAAATGCGGGGCAAACCGGTGTATCTTACTCGATGGAGTTCTAGCCTTTTCACAGCTTGTGTGGTTGGTTTTGACCCAACGCTCTCTGATAATGACCTAAAGCAAAGATTTTCTGAGGCACTCGGATCTATAGGAACTGCTGATAAACCGGAATCAGTTGGTATCCTTATCAAAACTTTCATTCCGCGATCAACGTCAAACGGAGCTTCTCTAGGGTAAATTTTTCTTCTCTTTTGATTCTATTATCTTTTGGTTATGTTTCCTAACTGACCCTTTCTATTCTATTTGTAGGTTTTGTTACCTATACATCCAAACCGATGATAAGAATGAGGATCAATTTAAGTCTTGTTTGGAACGAGTTGATCTAAACATGGGGCAGATTAGCCATGTTAATCTCAAACACTGGGTCAACGAAGCTTTACTTGTAAGCATATCTATGGATATTTGACCATCAATGTCCTTTGAGAACAATTTTTTTTTCAGGTAACACATATACCTCTGTAACTGATTTGTGCAGAATGCCCTTCGAGAAGGTTATCGGGCATGGGCTGCTCATTGCTGCTGGTACAGTTGAGGACGGATTGCAAGTTTTGGAGTTCCAAGATTCATTTGGGCTAGAGCATGGAGCTCAAGGATTCATCAAGCTGGCTTTTTTCAAGTATCTGCTTAAAGAAGTATATGAATTCTAGGTAGGTTTATAGGTGAAGCAGGGAAAAAGAAACACTAATCTAGTTCTAATCATTCCCTATTTCTTCTTCTTACATTAAAAAAATGGATTGTGAATTTATTAGTTTTATAATGATCAGATCTCATCCTCAGATACTTTTTAAATATTTTCGTTTTATTTTGCATCTATCTATTGATAAAAACAGAACCGACTAATTGAACCAAAAGAGAAAACAGAAAGAAAAAAAGTGTCCACTTTCTTAAGTAACAAAACAAAAAGAAAAAACTCTAGTCTCTCTCTGTTTCTCTGTTTCTCTGTTTTCTTCTCCGATCCTTTAATCTTCCTGGTGCGTTAGGGACAGAGATGGGAAACGGAAACTCAAGGGAGGCTAAAGAATCGAGACGGTCAAAGCTACGACAGAAGCTACAAAAGTTTCGCATTCACCGTCGTCATCTTCGTTGTTCTCGAAACTCAGCAGGAATGGTGATACAACGAGCTGTGTCCGCCGAGGATTTCTCCGGCATTGCGCTTCTCACGTGATGTTTTAGTCTTGTTTCTTCAGGCGGATATGAAGTTTAAGGACAAGTGGCTCGCTTGTGTTTCTTTCGGTGAACAGACTTTTAGAACTAAAATCTCAGATACGTAAAGTTCCAAGGAAAATTGATAACAGTTCTGTTTCTGATGAATTTGCAGTACAGAGAAGCCAATTTGGAACTCAGTAAGTTGATCAAGACCATGTCTTTTGAATAATCTGGTTCTGCTAATTGGTAATTACAGTTAGTGTTTCTCTGTATATAGGAGAAGAAGCTTTTGTTGGAGAAAAATGGACCAAGTCTTGCTAGGGTCTCTGTATTTGAGGTTTCTATTATCCATATTTTTGAGTTTAGTCCTGAATCATGACATTGTTTTTTGGATTAATAGTCAGCTTAAAGGATCATCCTTTTATTTGTGCAGACCAGTAGGCTCTCAAGGAACAAAATCATCGGTTATTGTGAGCTTGATATATTCGATTTTGTAGTGCAGGTCAGCAGTTCTAAATTTATCTTTGTATATGTTTATATAAATTCTTGTTTTAATGTAAGATTATTGCAAGATTATTGTCTCTCTGCTTATTTGCTTTCTTCGGCGTGATACAGGAACCTGAGTCGGCGTGTAAGTCATTTGACTTGTTAGATCCCACATCATCCAATGTTGTTGGCACCATTTTCCTTTCTTGCTCTATTGAGGTACACACTAATGGAAACTCTGAGAAAATAAAGGACCAATGGTGTCTGATCTTTGGTTACTTAAATATTTGTAGGATCCTGTTGAAACCGAGAGGCGGTTTGCAAAGCGTATCTTGTCCATTGTGGTATGCTTTACCTTAAATCTTCCTCTCTTATTTATTCTGTTCTCTGTATGGCACACTTCAATGTTTCTTTCTTCTCTTGAACAAAATTTTGTAGAATATTTTAGAATGATAGTTAAGAGTTCTTTGACAAAGTGCAGGACTACAATCAAGATGGACAACTGTCGTTTTCGGAGTTCTCTGATCTAATAAAGGCTTTTGGAAACTTAGTGGCTGCTAACAAGGTTCGGCTTTAAGCATCTATGTCATTAGTGGATGCATGAGCTTTTCTCTCATTTTCAATTGATGTTATAAGGTTTTCACTGACTTATTTACCAGAAGGAGGAGTTGTTCAAAGCCGCTGATCTGAATGGGGACGGTGTTGTGACAATTGACGAGTTGGCTGCGCTTCTTGCTCTTCAACAAGAACAGTAATGACCCTTGATTTACTTCATTTTTTCAAATATTCTTCATTCTTGCTTTCATCACAAGTGTATTTTGACCTCCTAGAATGCTAAAATAATTTGAATTATCCAATGCAGGGAGCCAATTATAAATAATTGTCCGGTGTGTGGTGAGGCTCTTCAGCTCTCTGACAAGCTCAACGCGATGATCCATATGACTCTTTGTTTTGACGAAGGAACGGGTAATCAAGTGATGACCGGAGGGTTTTTGACTGATAGACAAGCTTCTTATGGGTGAGAAAACTCTTCTTTAAGCTAAAGAACTAGACATCTCTTACGTAACATCATATTTTCAACTTTTTGTTCAGTTGGATGTTCAAACTAAGTGAATGGACACACTTATCAACTTATGACGTGGGTTTGAATACTGGTTCAAGTGCTTCATATATTGTGGTATTCTTTTCTTTTTGCTCTCTTTAGTTTGTCTCTTGATGTTTTTGTTTCTTATGTGATTCTTGGTGTTTTGCTTTTTGCTATAGGTGATTGACCGGAAGAGTAAGAGACTTGTGGAAGAGTTGATTGACTCAAAGATTGTTCTGTCCATGAGAGCTATTTATCAGTCCAAAATTGGATTCCGACTTATGGATCAAGGTAAACTATTTAGGATACCTCGCCTTGACGCTACGCTAACGAAATAACACAATTTTGTACGTTTGATTGATCTTCTTGATCCAGGGGCAAAGGAGATTCTACAGAGACTTTCTGAGAAGCAGGGGAAGAAAATGAGCTCAGTTGAATCCGCACAAAAAATACCATGCTTTCTCGAGTTCTTTAAGGCATGTAAAGTTACTATTTATTAAGCTATAATGTGTTTTGCTTTGTTGTTGAGTTTGGAGTTGAGATTTTTTGTCTGTTGCTGGATCAAATAAACATGGCTGAAGTCAAGTATTCTCTGCAGCATTTTAAGGTATGTAAGGGATCTTATTTATACCCTCCACATTTAATCCAAATGTGTATAGTACTTAGACTCACAGTATTAGCAAGTGACTAAGTCTAAGGAAGGATTTTTTTACTTGCAGACGTTCAATGAGTTCTTCATCCGGGAGTTGAAACCTGGTGCAAGACCAATTGCTTGCATGAAACGTGATGATGTTGCCGTATGTGCTGCTGATTGTCGTGTAATGGCATTTCAGTCGGTGGAGGATAGTACACGTTTCTGGATCAAGGTAAAATGGTCTCTAGAGTAGCTTACTATATACTTACCATTATTATGCAAAAGTAGAGAACTCTCAAAGCTGATAAGTTGCAACACATCTTAAAGTTTTTGTATTGATTCTGCATTGATAGGGAAAAAGTTTTCAATAAGAGGCCTCCTTGGGAAGAATGTGAATCCAAAATGCCTTCCTTGATGGATCTTTGGTGATATTCCGACTAGCACCACAGGTTCGATGAGACTGGATATACGATTCACAGGCTAGAACACTACATAGTTCTTGTTTGCTCTCTTTTACACATTTCTTGAATGTTACAGGATTATCATCGCTTTCATGTCCCTGTCTCTGGAGTCATTGAAAAGTTTGCTTTTGTTGCAATCGGTGCGACAATGGTTGGTAGCATAAATTTTGTCAGAAAGGAAGGAGAGCATGTGAAGAAAGGAGATGAAGTAAGCAGTTTCGACTTTTCGCAAGAAACACTTGAAGCTTGGTTATTTTTCGTTTGGTGGAAGCACGGTTATATGCGTCTTTGAAAAGGTTAGCGACTTAATGTATATAAATCTTAAGAACACTTTTAAGCCTTTATAGATATGATATATTCACTGTTTTTTAAAAATCAATCTGAATTGACTACTCTTTTTTCACTTAACACATTTTTGCAGGACTCGATCCGGATCGATGAGGATCTCTTGGTAAACAGTGGTAGGTCCTTAGAGACATTAGTGAGAGTTGGAATGCAATTAGGTGTCTCCCCAAGGACATTTGCTAGGTCTACATGACCTGAAAATCTTTGTCACTGGTCTGATTACCAGAGATCATTTGGTTTGATTTGATTTTCCTCTTGTTTCGCGCATAATGACTCTGTATATAACCAAATGAAATCTCCTCGGTATTATTTATACAATGAATGAGCTAAACACACATTCCTTGGCAGAGCGTTCTCCTTTTGCCATTCCATCAAGCCTTGTGAGATAACACTCGATTAGTCGATTCTTGTCAAAGGTAAAATGGTTTCTAGAAGAAACTACCATTCACTAGAAGCTATTTCCCCTTAATTCAAATATGCTTTGTCTCTATAATGTTTTCATTGGGAAAGGAGATTTGGCTCAGCAACAACAGATCTTGAGACGTATCAATGATTTGTCACCGGTTTTGATGACTCAAAGAAGCAATGGGCAATAAAACAACAGGTGTACAAGGCTGCTACATAGTTTGAGCCATTGGGATTGGTGAATAATCCATGTCTTGTCTCTGAAACTGTTGTTGTGAGCCAAATCTCATTGCTTCTTGAGTCATTAAAATCTGAAGAGTTATGTTTCTATTAATAACAAAAACTTTTATTTGTTTTGATCCCTCATTTTCTCAATCAAATCTCCCTCATAAAAAATCTAAAATTATAAACGAAAGGGAGTCAAGGGACCATAACTTAAGAAACAAAAAAAGGAGGTGCCAAAATTTTAGAAACAAAATAAAAAAGGGAATAAACAAAACATAAAAAGAAAAGAAAAGATAAATCTAGGCTCTTTTATCCTTGTTATCTTTGTTCACTTGGAGTACTCTCATTGGGCCTTCTCACGAATCGTCCCTGTTCCAACATCCCATCACCAACCACAAAAAGAAGTGAAAACATTAATATTAGGTTCTTGTCTTAATCAAATCTTATTTATATCCCTAGCCCTTGACCTTAATCTAACGTTATTACTTGGTTTGTTTCCATTAAACGTGTACATAATTCACCCTTTTTCCATTTAGATGACAATTTTTAGTGATTGATATATTTAACCTTTGGATTGATTCTAATCATATTGACTCCTTCACTTGTTGTTCATTTTGGTTCATTTGGATTAAAGATACCCAATAGAAACTATTTCCTCTCGAATAGAAAAACTCAACAAGAGTTTTCTCATCTACTTTTAAAACTCAAAACTAAAACTAAAACTCATAAAGCAGGTTAAAATTAAAAACAATTAAAACAAATTTCGATGGATGGTAAAAACCTACATGTTTTTTAACCACGGATTAAGATGGGTGAGATACCTTCATTCGAGGACGTTGATCAGCATTGAGTTTACGAACTTGGTATCGAATTTTCTTGGAAAAAAGACGAGTTCGACGTTTCTCTTTGTACCTCAAAACACTTGCTTCTCGCATTCCACTGTCTCCGAACAAATCAATCTCAGCTAATCTAGCCTGCCCCAAAACACACACTCCAAATTAGTTCATGTCCAACATTAATAATAATAATAACACAAATACCCAATCATATAATCAATCTTAGGCTTAAAAAGGGTAAAACACGTAAACATAAATGCTTACGGTTAAAATGAATTGTCTAGTTAACATTTGTAGACTACTAGACTTTATGCTAAAAGGAGTAGTATTCGACGAAACGGATATATATACAAAATAAATTTTGAACCTCTTCATTTATCCTATACGTGAAAATTCACGTGCACAGTGTATAAAGTTTTCATTGGACAAATAAAAAGCAGTTTTTTTTTTGTTAATTGATTGAAAGTCATCATAAATTATTTAAAAAAGTTTATAAAAAGAGTTTATAAACAAAAACAAAGAAAAAGACTATGTACCAAAGTCAAAGGGTTAATACCTATTCTTCAAAATACGTTACAAGAAAAGTTATTGAGAACTTTCCACAAAATTTAATAAATTCTTGTCAGATACTATGAGGAGCTAATAAATTATTAACTATTTGATTATTTAAAGCATCAAAATCAACACACTCCCCTTCTATTTCCAAGCCACGTGGCAGAACAGAATTCCGAAATATAAGCTACGAATAATTAATAATTTCAAACTAACCATTAACTAAAAAACAATACAGTAACATAGAAAATATCGAATTTAACGGCGAAGTATTTGAGATTAAAGAGATTAGTGTTAACATACATTGACATCGATACCAGTAGCTTCCGATCCCAGAATCTCATCAGGAAACGGCGACGTTTTATCAGACCAAGCTTCCAAAACGCCGTCGTAATCAAGCTTCAACAATGGACCTGTTCTCTTCGGACTCGTCTCCTCCGTATCTTCCGAGCTTTTCGATTCCGTAATCAACAATGGCGTCGCCGCCGCCGTCATTTTCTTCTTCTTCTTCTTCTTATTACTCTTCTCTCCGGAGATCACCTTTTTACCGTCGGATTTTTCCTCATGGACGGTGGAGATTGCAGTTTCGGTCGTGACGGTTGGAATTCGCGGCGAGATCTGTTCGAAATCAACGGTTTGAATTCTCCACAAGTTTGGGTCATCGTTCTCTCTGAGAGCGCTTCTTAATCCAAGACCTAACGGAAAATTTCCAGCGAAATTGAATCCGTTAGAGCTTCGATTCCATGAATTGATCATCATCATCTGTTCTAATTTACCAATTCGATTACAACTCCTTCTGATTCCCGGAACCCTAGATTCATAAATCCCCAAATTCGAATTCGAATTCGATTCCACCACAGTCCCCATTATACTATCGATTCCTTCTTCAATCTCCTCATCAAGAATCGATTCAGCATCGAATTCGTCGGAAAAATCAAACTTTTCGATTTCACCACCGTAACCTCCACCGGAATTAACTTCCTTGTGCTCGGAGAAAAACTCCGATTTCGTCGGATGAAACAGAAAATCAGGCTCTTCGATTGATTCATAAGGAAGAAGCAAATCAGAAGCGTCATCGTTGTCACTAAGCAATGGAGATTTAACAATCCCGTAGAAGTGAGAATTGGAAGAGTGAGTTTTTTGCTTAGAGGACAAGTTTGAGGAGAAGATGTTTGGATAAGCAGATGAGAGAAGAGTAGCTGCTTCGTAGTAAGTCTGGTTTGGTCTTTTGCGTTGAGTTCTTGGCTTTCTCGTTGAGATTGCGAGTGGTGAATTTGATGATTCGGAGATTGTTGATGATGGTGAAGTAGCTCTTGTTGTTGTTGTTGTTGAGCTTGACGGTGGTGATTTCACTTTTTCTAACTCGAAACTATATGCTGCTGCTCCTCCTCCGCCACTGCTTATACAAGCCGACATTTGCAGATTGTTTGATTACAACAAGTAAAAAAGACCAAAACTTTGAACTTTACTGTTTTGTGAGTGATGAAATTGAGACTGTTTCCTTTTGGTTAAGGAATTGTGTTTGATTTTAAGATAATAATAAACCCTTAAAACCCACTGAAGAAACCTTTTTTTATTTGGTGAGAAAATACAAAATTGAAGGAGAAAAAAAAAGGTCAAAACTTTAGGGAAAGAGGAAGGAGAAAAGAAAGATTCGTCTTCATCATTTGAAAGAAAGAGCTAAGAAAGGAAAATACTAGAAAAATCAAAACCCATTTGGAATCTGAGATTTTTGTTTATGAAACCAAAAGAATTGGCCAACAAGTGAAGTTCTTGCAGAGAGAAGCCAATTGGTTTGTGAAGAGGGAGAGAGAGATTGGAGGAGAAAGAAGAGTCACGAGATATATAAGAGGAGCAAAGATGAGGGGTTTAGTGAGAGTTTAGTAAAAAACAAACAAGAGATTAGTAAATAAATAGTGAAGAGCGTTTTTTTTTTTGGTTTTGTGGTAATTTAAACATAAGAAGAGAAGTTGTGGAGAAACAGAGAGAGTGGTGGGAAGAAGAAGACGAGAGAGAGTGAGCGAATGGTGAAGAAGGACAAGATAGCTCGTAATCGGCAATTCTGGAATTAATGGGGTCCACTAGTGGATTTTTTCACTTTTGTCTTAATTTAAAATTTTATATTACTTTGTAAAACGATTTTTCTTATGGATATAGATACTTCCACGACTTAAGATTTTTTCTTTCCTTTAGAAAAAGAGTCATTCAAAGGTTTATAAGGAAAATTTTGTTACTGAAAACGTTTGGATTATCTACAATGACTGGTGTTAGAATTAAAGCAAAACAGTAATATTATATTACACGCTTTTTTTTTTTGGTTATAATGTTAATTTGCTAACTTGTTAAAAAAAAGAACTTTACAAACAATGTTTGGTAGTTATAAAGAAATGATTTGAAAATTTAATAGGCAAAAAAATGAAAAATCAATTGTTGATCATGGCAGCGATTGGTCATAATTCGAATGAAATTAATTTGTTGCATATTGATTTAACAAAATTAGTATTTTTGTATATTAAATAACGTTTAATTAAAATGTAAAAAATATTAGTTGTTTTATCGATCAAGTGATATTGTACTATAGCAGCCATCGTTTATTATTAAAGACAAATTTGTCACGTTTTAAATTATCGTATTTACTCATTTTATCACATTAAACAATAATTACTAAAAGTTGAAACAATATCCGGTTCATCGATCTATTAGGCAAAATAGCGGCGATCATGCATTAAATCGAATTGAGTAAATTTTCGGTGTATTGATTAATCGATATTATCCACTTTTCACATTAAATAAAATAAATCCAAAACTTTAGAATATTATTTGGCTCATCGATCTAGTGGTAAGTAATATAGTGGCGATCAAGCATTATATTGATTAGAGATAAATATCTTACGAATTGATTCATTGAAATCATCCATTTTCATATTAGATAATATTTACTCATAATTGAAAAACATTAATCACCTCATCGCTTAAGTGGAAGGTAGTGTAATGGCGATTAATCGGCTAATCTATCTAGTGCCAATGTTATGTTGGTTGAGGTTGAGGATATTTCTTCTTAATCGATACCAAAAATCGAGTTCTGCAATTTGCGAATATTTATTTTTAGGTCTTTTAGCTATTATAGAGTTAAAAAATATCTGATAAATGATATATCTATTATTAGTTTTAGTTTTAATTTAGAGTAACCATATTTTTTGGTTTTTATGTTAAGAATCACCTTATTAACAAAAAAAAAATGTTATAGATATGAAATACTTGAGTGTGTATCGATAATTTGTGTTTTTATTAATAGTATAAGTGAGACCGTATATTTGTTTGTATTTTAGTTTATGATATCAAGAATATAAATAGAATTCGAAGTTATATAGTTTTTGACTGGTTTAACAACATTTATGTATTCCATATATATATTTTTGATAATGGTTATAAATTTTTAAATAAGATTTTCAATTTTCATTTATTGATTTGGTTGTGATATTCGAGTTCTTCTAAGGTTTTTTCCAAGAAAGATGCTTAAAAGTTTAATCCAGGCTCTTTAGTGACTAATATCATTAATGAATCGTCTTTGTGGAAATCGTCTTTTGGATCCAAAAAATGCAAAAACCACATCATCATCATCCAAATCTGCAAATCTTTTTGGGATCTTAAAGAGAAAACGAGGAAAGGTCACCTTATCCTATTACGTGGCATATACTAATTGGCTCCACTAGATTTCTTTGATGACGTGGTGCTTTCTCTGTTAACTGATTATGGTCGCCTGGTCGGAGACGTTTTCACGTGGTCTTAAAAACCGACTTTATTAATTCAGTAATTTCCTTTTATTAAGATTCTTTTTTTTTTCAAATTTACTAATTTAGCATATTTAGGGAAAAAAATACTAGCATAAATAGATAGTTTCTTATCTATATTTTGTGTCAGATAATTTTAAATTTTCTTTCTTGGTTGACTATTATTTCATCAATTTTTTAATTTTAGTTTAAATTAAGTTAAACTTTTCATACGTTTCTGCAAAACAAACAATAGAAAAGTAACGGCCGGAATATAATATCTATAGCTAATTGGCTATATTTAGTAGAAGTAAGCTTACAAAATTGTCGTATTTACAATATAGTAGTTATTAAATAATTAACTATTTTTTATTAATTTAGTTTAAAACAAAAGTGTGGAGAGCGAAAAGTGGTGGGCTAGTGGATTGTGTATGTGAGCGAAAAAATGATTGGAACCTTTTTGGTATCATTTGAAGTAATTTGTGGCGAAAGCTAAACCTACGTTTACCTCATTAGGTTCAATGACTCCTGCTTAGATATTAGAGATTACATAGAGCGAGATAAGATATCCACGAGTTATCCGTCTATATCAAAATTTTAATTGTACTCAAACATTGTGATTACATATACTTAACAAAAGAAATCCACTAAATTTAAATTAAAAAGTAACTTGCATATCTACTACGTACTTTATAACCAAAAACAATATGAGTTGCTACTTTTATCCATTAACAAATTTTACTTACACAATTCGTCCTCAGATTTCATCTATTGGTCGTGAGGTAAAGGTAAAAGACAAAAAAAAAAAAAACTTACAAATTTCATTATTATTGGTATTCTGATACTTGCTTGGGTTTATCCTCATTTCTTGATATTCTTTTAGCGGGGGTTAGAAATATCTAGATGAAAAAAAATTATAACATATTAACGAAGATCAAATATGCGCCTGTCAAATATCTAGTGCAAAAATATTATTTTTTTTTATATAAAGTGAATTTTAAAAGGAAAATTCATTCATCAGCTATTATTTACTACTACATGATTAACCCCCCCCCCCCCCCAAAAAAAAAAAAGTTCAAGATCAATATGCAAATTTCGGTAATGATGCATATTTCTTTCTGGAGTTGCTTATAATTTATCATGATTGTTCTTATAAAATACTTTGCTCAAAAAAAAAAAAAGTTCTTATAAAATACTACTCATTATCTAATAAATCTTTCCAATTGATAATTTGATCAGAAAACTAAAACCAGTTTTTTTCTTTAAGTCTACTTATCAGAAAACGTTATTTTGTTTTTAGATTAATATTAGTTCATATGCATACTTCTTAGTCAGTAGAAAAGCTTTCAACAGTATTCTCTTACTAGAAATAGAACTTAAATGCCAATTAATTTACATTTGTAAGAAAAGTCGGTTGACAAAAAAAATATCTTAGAGAATTTTGAAGTGTAAAGAATTTTTCTTATCTAAAGAAATTGTGCTGGGGGGAATTTGAACCTCAAGAAAAACAGGATAAACCATGTTATGGCACTGCTCCAAAGTAAGTTTTGTTCTTATGTTATTCTTGTGACAGCATGTGACCTCTCTCCCATTTCTTTAATAATTCCTTACCATTTTCCCGTAAAAGTTTTGTTGGATAAAAGTACATTAATAATTTCAATCGTTGCAGCATGTGTAAATGAAGTACTTTATACCCGGATACTTCTACTTCAAGGACATCAGGGAGAGACTTTTCAATCTGTTTTGCTTTGTTAATTTTTTTTAAAAATTTACTCTTTTGATTGATTAACTAACGAGATTAAAAATGTGACTCCCCTGTTGTGATACGTATTTGCGTTGTGATTTATGTGGATTTTAAAAGGGATTATGGATTAGATAACGTGATTAACACGGATAATTTTTTTGTTAAAAAGTTTTTATTTAACACGAAGATTGTTCAAAATAGAAATGTAAAAAAAAAGTGACATGTATTTGTTTCACTAAAATAAATTGTTGAAATAAAAGAGAAACTGATTTTAAAGAATATCCTAACTGTCGTTTTCAATGTTTATAATTTACAGCTTGATGACTTTACACGTACGTAATTAGAAAGAATGCGGCTATGTTAAAACTTAAAACCCTCGAATGTCATAATTCTGATTGTCCTATAAATTCAAAACTGTTACATATGTACAAAATCAGACATTGTAGACAACTTGTTTACAATTATCTTACCATGTAGTTATTTCGGCCACATCTAATGGGTCTTACAATATTTTGTTTTTACACTATAAGTTAACGTAAACCACACGAGAATATCATAGAGGATACACGAAAATTAAATAGATGTTGTAGACAACAAAAAAAACCAACTCGTTCTAAGGGGAGCTAGAGAAAACCTATCTCATCTTATAAACCCATCTAACCACTCATTTGGATATCATAATATCTATAATGAACATACTATCTTTATAACCTCTAAGTGCTTGTATATGTTCATTATTTTCATAGTTTAAACATAACATTCTAGTATTCCGATTTTTGCAATAGATTCTATTCATGTAAAAGCATAGAGACATGTAGAGGCTAATCAAACATGAATCCAATGAATTTATATGTACATTATTAAATCGTTAATAACAAAACTTTTTAACATAAGTTGAAAACCAAATATTTTAACATTGTGAGTTAGAATCATCAATCATGTGTGTTAGACATGAAAGAAGTTGTTATATATATATATATATATATAAAGTAATTGTATGGAGAATTCGAAAAGCCATGGAGAATTCGAAAAGCCAAGTAGAAATGAAAACACTAATATAGCTAAAAATATCCAAATGAGACTAGGTAGATATCAAATGGCTCATGGCTCAAGAGTAACCCAAATGCAAATAGTTACAAACAACAAGTGAACTATTTCTTCTATCTTACATATTGGAGGGGACCATTAAAACTATGTCTTGCTCTAAATTTCGAATTCTAATTGTTTTATAAGCATGGGTAATAATGCAATAGCACAACTCTTTCATATATTGCCTTCCATGCTTATGATAAAGTTTTGAAACCTTTGGGATCCAAAGAAGGAAAACAGACAACAAGACAACTAACTAACTAGATAAATATAGAGAATTCAAAAGATAAATGTTAGATTGAGAAGTTAGTACTAAAAGTAAAAAAAAAAAAAAAAAAAAAAAGAGATACTTTAGTACAGACAAATTTATAATACACTTTATGGTGACTTAATGTCTTATGTTTCAATAAATATGAAACAAAGATACAATAGTAGCATAAAAATCATATTATACATATTCAATTTTGAGGTCAAAAGTCAGGTTCATAAATAACAAGAAAAAACAAAAAAAGAGGTCAAGTAATATAAGTATTTTTTTTAGAAAATGGGCTCTAGCGTGGGCTTACATACTGTGTATACTAATTCAAGCCAGTAAGAAATTATAAACTGTTATTATTGTTTTATCTAGATTAGCCACTTATTCTCTAGTCCGTTACTCCTTCCTTGGATCCGAAAAACGTTAAAAGCTTATCATAAACATGGAAAGGCAAAAGTGAAAGAGTTATGCGACTGCATGGCATGATTCTCCATATGCTCATTCCAAAAAGAAAAAAAAGAACAAAAAAAAAGACGAGATTAGTAAAGACATAACTCTATTGGTCCCCTCCAAAATGTAAAAGAAAAAAAAAAACTTGACCTTTTACATTTGGGCTGCAGTTTGCATTGTAGGCCCATGGAATTCCGGTTTTAAATGGCCCAATTCTTATAACGAGTTCTTCTTCTTTTTTATTTAATCAATTTTTAAAGATAAAAATTAATAAAACCCTTTTGCTCTTACCGTTATCTCAACTTCCATATCTGAACTGAAAGCCACTGGTTTTGGTTGTCGGAAAAAGGAGAAGCTTTTAAAAAAGATGCCCACTTTAAATCTCTTCACTAACATTCCAGTCGACGCCGTCACTTGCTCCGATATCCTCAAGGATGCTACTAAGGCCGTCGCTAAAATCATCGGCAAACCTGAATCCGTAAAAACTCTAATCTTCTGTTTCTCCCATTTTTACGAGAATTCACCAACCTTCTGTTTTTGTTCTTTTTGTTGTCTTTTTTTTTATTCCTGTTTAGGGTTTTGATTATGAAAGCAGGTTAGAATGGGAATTGTTAGTTTTTGGGTAGGCTGACGACGTTACTGGTCTATGCACACGAACTGTTCGACGAAATTCCTCTGTGAATAGTGAATTGCTAGTCCTTCAATTGCTAGTCCTCAGAACTTAACTCTTGAGAATTCCTTTTGAATTGTATTTCAGTGGAACTTTGTTCAAATCAATAATAGAGTACGTTGACATATCACTAAAGGAGTCGTAACTTGTGACTTATGTTTAATCATCTTTTCAGTATGTGATGATACTGCTCAACAGTGGAGTGCCCATTGCATTTGCCGGTACGGAGGAACCTGCTGCATATGGAGAATTGATATCTATAGGGGGATTAGGACCTGGTGTAAACGGGAGGCTTAGCGAGACGATATCTGAGATTCTCCAAATTAAGCTCTCCATAGATAGCTCTCGCTTTTATATCAAATTCTACGATTCCCCGGTGAGTCTTATTTTGCATAAGAAAGATGTCGTTTGCCTTCCAAGAAATGAATTACATAAGATGGTGATCTCATGTTCAAGAATTTATATATAGAATCCTCAATTAGATTAAAGCTAGATTCTTGCGATGATGGGCTATATATATATATATATATATATATGGATGCACACTTTGATGATAGCACAATGTTCTGATAAACTTGATCAATGAATAGAAAGTTAGTTAAATTCTTTGTTTTTTTCTTCCTTTCGCAGCGACCCTTCTTCGGATTCAACGGATCAACTTTCTGAAAACGATGGCGATCGAAGAGGCGAATGCAACCTTGTAATGATATTTGTTGGGTTTGAACTGTTTGATTATTGAATTCAAAAACTGTAATTCTTATCTTAACCTTGATTTATAATTTTACCTCCCGTAAAAGCCAATATATTTCATGTTTAAACAGCTAGATTTACAGCTAGATTTACAGCTAGGTTTACAGCTAGATTTGCAGCTAGATCTACAGCTAGATTTACAGCTCGATCTACAGCTAGGTTTACAGCTAGATTCTTAAACTTATGTAAACCCTTTTGCTCTTACCGTTATCCCAACTTCCATATCTGAACTGAAGAAAGCCACTAGTTTTGGTTTTGTCTGAAAAAGGAGAAGATGTCCACTTTAAATCTCTTCACTAACGTACCAGCCGACTCCTGCATTTGCTCTGACATCCTCAAGGACGTTACTAAGGCCGTCGCTAAAATCATCGGCAAACCTGAATCCGTAAACATCTCTAATTCCTCTGTTTCCCCCATTTCTACAAGAATTCATCAATCTTAAGTTTTTGTTCTTGTCTTTTATAGTTTTATTCCTGTTTAGGTTTTTTTTTTTATATGAAAGCAGAGTAGAATGGAAAGCTTTATTTTGGTTACTTATTATACAATGTCTGTTTTTGTTCGTCTTTGTTTTCAGAGTGTGATGATACTGCTTAACAGCGGAGTGCCCATTGCATTTGCCGGTAGCAAGGAACCTGCTGCATATGGACAATTGGTATCTATAGGGGGATTAGGACCTGACGTAAATGGGAAGCTTAGCGAGAAGATATCGGAAATTCTCCAAGTTAAGCTCGACATAGCTAGCTTCCGCTGTTATATCAGTTTCTACGAGTCTCCTGTAAGTCCCATTTTGCTTCATCTTAAAAGCTTTGCATAAGAAAATATGTCACTTGCATTCCATGAAATGAATTACATCAGATGATTATCTCATGTTTATATACAGAATCCTGATTTAGATTAAAGCTAGATTCTTGCAATGATGGGCTGGCTATACACACACTGTTTTGATGATAGCACAATGTTCTGATAAACTCAATGAATAGAAATCTTTGGTTTCTTTTTTCTTTGGCAGCCATCCTTCTTCGGATTCAACGGATCAACTTTCTGAAACGATGGCGAAGAGGCGAATTCAACCTTGTAATGATATTTGTTGGGTTAGAACTGTTTGATTATTGATTTCAAAAGCTGTAACACTTATCTTAACCTTGATTTATAATGTTACCTCCCGGAAAAGCCAATATTTTGGGCCTAGTTATAACTTATGATATGATCTCATAATACAGCAAATTGTATCCCAAACATGAAATTTAAAGCACACGCTCATATTTTTTAATAGAATAATAGTACACATTGGACTGAATTGATCAATTAATTAAGTTACTGGACAAATATGTAATATAGAATAAGTAATCACTGAGAAGACCGAGTCACTGTAACTTAGGCATTACCGAAACCGGCCGTGCAACTTTTCAAACGCGACTTTCTTCTCCGGCAAGCAATTCACGCCGCTGCTCAGTGATTCTCCGTAAGAATCAGTAATTCCGGCAGAGAATATGACGGAGGAGATCAAATTCAGCGTTCTGGTATCTCTCTTCAACTGGATTCAAAAAAGCAAAACCTCATCTCAAAAACGCTCCAAATTCCGCAAGTTTCTCGACACTTACTGCAAACCCTCCGACTACTTCGTCGCCGTCCGTTTAATCATTCCGTCGCTTGATCGAGAACGAGGTAGCTACGGCCTCAAAGAGTCAGTGCTCGCCACGTGTCTGATCGACGCACTTGGCATCTCTCGTGACGCTCCTGACGCTGTACGTCTTCTCAATTGGCGTAAAGGAGGAACCGCTAAAGCTGGAGCCAATGCTGGAAACTTTTCCTTGATTGCTGCTGAGGTTTTGGATTCGTTTTGACTTTCTTCTGGGTTTTGGTTTTTTGGGGCTTTAGGGTTTTTGAACATTTTTGTGGTCATAGGTATTGCAACGTAGACAAGGAATGGCTTCTGGTGGTTTGACTGTTAAGGAATTGAATGATTTGCTTGATCGTTTGGCTTCAAGTGAGAACAGGTGCTTTCTCTTATAATCAGTACACTTCTTATAGAATCAATTTTGTTTCTATTTACTCTCTTATCTATGCAACGCAGAGCCGAAAAAACTTTGGTTCTTTCTACTTTGATTCAGAAGACAAATGCTCAGGAGATGAAGTGGGTCATTAGGATTATTCTTAAAGGTAGGAACTTTGCAGTTTCTTCACTTAAAGTCTCCATCTTTTTTCTTTTGATTTATTGAGATGGACTAGTAATTCTGATTTGTTGGGAAATGCTTTACAGATTTGAAACTGGGAATGAGTGAGAAGAGCATTTTTCAGGAGTTCCATCCAGATGCTGAGGACTTGTTTAATGTTACCTGTGACTTGAAACTAGTCTGTGAAAAGTTGAGGGATCGACACCAACGGCACAAGCGCCAGGTTTTGTTATTAGAAATACTTGATTTACAACTTACAAACTACTGTTCATTTCTTCTATAATCTCCTTTCAGTTTATGATTGTTGTGATCCCTTGTAGGATATAGAGGTTGGGAAAGCCGTACGACCCCAATTAGCTATGCGTATCAGTGATGTAAATGCTGCTTGGAAGAAAGTAAATTCCATCAACTCTATTGTCAGCTTACTCCATTTACCTGTGCAGTATTTTGTTTGTCTGTTAATGTCGTTGTATTGGTGTTTCATTTCTTTAACCAATGCATGAGTCTCTCTTTTTCATCGACACAGCTGCATGGGAAAGATGTAGTTGCTGAATGCAAATTTGATGGGGATCGCATACAAATACACAAAAATGGGACTGACATACATTACTTCTCTAGGTGAGTCACATCTCTTTCGTCTACACTGCTATAAATGTTTTGATTAAAGATCTTACTTGCATATGGCAAAGTTCATGACTATTTTGTGACTTGGTGTCCGGAAAGCCGTTTTTTGGTCAAACAAGTTCTCTAGTGTTTTAACAGATAGGGAATTTGTACTTACTTTTTTTAGTGATGGTGCAGGAACTTCCTTGACCATTCTGAATACGCACATGCCATGTCGGATCTTATTGTACAAAATATATTAGTGGACAAGTAAGAATCCCGTTGCTGTTTATAAGGGGCTGGAAGATTTTACGAACTTGGAATTATGAGATATACGATCTTTCATTTTCCTTTTTTTTGCCATTTAGGTGTATCCTCGATGGTGAAATGTTGGTCTGGGATACATCCCTGAATCGGTTTGCTGAGTTTGGTTCAAATCAGGAAATAGGTTTGGCGTCTAATCAATATCCTTATGTTGAAAAGCTTAGTCTTGCTTCCAGTAGATTTGATCCTTCCTGTACTCTTGTTCACAGCCAAGGCAGCAAGGGAGGGTCTTGACAGCCATAAACAGGTTCATATGCGAAGTCCCATTTGTTTACTTTTGTTGTTTGCTATATGTTGCAAGTGAAACTGTTTGAGGATCCGACTACAGCCTCTGATGTTCTTTTATCTGCGAATGCAGTTGTGTTGTATCCTTATGAGGAGAAGTTAATGCCAACACTTCAGAATGTCATGACGAAACGACTTTAGAGATATTATTTTCCTTGACCTTGTACTAGATGTTGCCTTTGATGTTCTTTATGTTGGCGATACTAGCGTCATCCACCAGAGTTTGAAGGAACGGCATGAACTGCTGAGGAAAGTGGTCAAACCTTTAAAAGGTCGGCTCGAAGTTTTAGTACCTGAAGGTGGTCTCAATGTTCACCGCCCTTCAGGTAAGGACTACTAAGATTCTAGTTGACTGTGGAAAGTTCCCAATTGACAGAGTTAAATCAATGATAAGTTTTTTTTTGAAGTGTGCGTATGTTTTTAGACTCTCGCTTCATTGTGAGTCTCTTAAATTGTTCATACAACTATTTAATCTCTTCTGGTACCATAACTCGTTTAAAAATCGATACGTGAACAATCGTATTTTGCAGGGGAACCTAGTTGGTCTATTGTTGTTCATGCTGCTGCTGATGTTGAGCGATTTTTCAAAGAAACAGTTGAAAACAGGTTTATTTTTCTTATTCTAAATCCAGCCAAAGTTTCTCTCTCCGCTATTTATGAGTTGTGCAAAACGTTTGGATGGTGCCTTCTTGGCCTTACGTGAACAGTAATACTTGCTTGATAGAATTTACCCTCCAGTACAAAGACATTAATATGGTTTTCTTCAAAGATGTGCTTTCTTGTTTCCAATCCTTCTTCTTTGTCCTCAGAGATGAAGGAGTTGTGCTTAAAGACCTGGGATCGAAATGGGAACCTGGAGATCGTAGTGGCAAGTGGTTGAAATTGAAGCCTGAATATATCCGGGCTGGTACTGACCTAGATGTTCTTATAATAGGTCTGTACTTGATATTATGTTACTTTTCCTTATTCAAAACTGATGGTCATTTCCGTTGGATCTTATTGGGGATTTTACATCTTTGCTAGGAGGATACTATGGCTCCGGACGTCGTGGAGGAGAGGTAGCACAGTTTCTCGTCGCCTTGGCTGACCGGGCAGAGGCAAATGTATATCCCAGGCGGTAAGTATTTATCTGGTTTCACATTTTCTCATAGAAGATGAAATCAGATTGTCAATAGATACTACTGAAACAGTCATGAGAGAACATGGGATATGAAGACTTAAGGGCTTTTCATGTTATCGGAATTGTTAGTTATTTGCCCGAACATTCCAAATCTAATTATCACTGATAAGCTATTCTCTTTTTGCAGATTTATGTCCTTTTGTAGAGTTGGCACTGGACTTTCTGATGATGAGCTCAACACTGTTGTAAGCAAACTGAAGCCTTATTTCAGGTGAGAGACGTAATAGTTTACTTGCTTTCTTATCTCATTAAAACAAAAAATTTTAAACAATATGGGATAAATCAAGGTGGATTTAATAAAGGTTTTCCACTATAAGATATGGCTCACGAGAAACAGCTATTGGCATACATCAAAACTAGAAGTTCTTTGTGGTATAATATTCTAAGAATGAAAACACTGCCTCGTTTTCTTTAATAGTTATCATATTTTATTTGTCTTTCAGAAAAAATGAACACCCAAAGAAGGCTCCACCAAGCTTCTATCAGGTCACTAATCACTCAAAAGAGAGACCGGATGTTTGGATTGAAAGCCCGGAAAAGTCAGTTTTCTGTCAATTATCTCCTTTTCCTCAACTGAAGCAGAAGAATTGGGATTGTTCAATACTATTATCCGCGCTCATAGTTTTTCTCTTCCTTTTCTGCAGATCAATAATACTTTCAATCACTAGTGATATCAGGACCATAAGGTCTGAGGTATGTCCATAAGATGTGAGAATGTGAAGATTAGCTAGTTACCTCTAACAATTTCTTTTAATTTAGTATCTTGCAATGCAGATTTGTCGCTTATAATGCATAATAATTGCATATGCTCTATTCTATGTAAAACTCTGCTTTTTTTTTTCAGGTGTTTGTTGCACCTTACAGCCTGAGGTTTCCTCGTATTGATAAAGTAAGATATGACAAGTCTTGGCATGAATGTCTCGATGTGCAGGGTGAGTAAAAAAACCAAAGAAACTATACAATGTTCATGAAAGTTGAAATAACCGATTTGCTTCCGGTTTATATGTCCGACTGATGTTTACTCTGCAGCTTTTGTGGAATTGGTAAATTCGAGTAACGGCACCACACAGAAACAGAAGGAATCTGAAAGCACACAGGACAATCCGAAAGTCAATAAATCCTCCAAGAAAGGAGAGAAAAAGAATGTCTCTCTTGTCCCCTCCCAGTTTATTCAAACTGATGTATCGGATATCAAGGGCAAGACCTCAGTCTTCTCAAATATGATATTTTGTATCCTTGATATGTTTTAAAATGAATTTTCTTCTCTCTTCTTCATTCTCACCTGGGTACCGTTTTCTTACTGATTGCGATTGCAGCTGTCTTTCTCTATTAGAATTGGACACCTTTTTACATGGATAAGTTCTGAAATTTCTTTAACTTGCAAACTTTGTCATACTACACTTTTCTTTATCACC